AAAAAATTATTTATTAACTTTATTTTAAAAATTAATTTCATTTTTAAATTAATAATTACATAATTATACAAAATAATTAATATAATCATTTAGTAATTAATAAATAATCAGAATAATAATTGTACTTAAATATAAATTATTTATAATTATAGTTTAATTTTAGAAAAATTTATTATTGTAATTTGAATCTTATAATTATAAAAATTAGAATTGAAAATAAATAATATATTTGTTTGACTAAAATTTAAAAGAATATTAACATAAGATTGTTACAATAATTTATTATTTTTAAAATTTTATTATTTATAAAATAAAGATAAAAACTACAAGGACCTAATTAAAAACAAAGTAAAACAATAAGGACCTGATAAAAAGAAAAAATATTATAAGGACCTGATTAAAAATATGTGAAAGTATAAGGACCTGATAAAAAGAAAAAAAATTATAGAGACCTGATTAAAAACCAGTTAAAATTATAAGGACTTGCATATTAATTATTCCTTTGAGGAACATTGATTGTTTTGAGGGATCAGGATTTTTCTGTTTGCGTTTTGGTCCTTTGAAGGTTTAAGTTCAGTTTGTCTTTTTTCGTTAGAGATATTGGCAATGCTCTGTAAATTTGGCTGTGACAGTGTTAAGTATTGTGATCTGGAATGGGGTGGTTGCTCCATATGATCAGCCAAAGCCCAAAAGAACAGTGGCCGCAGCTGCACCTCTAGGGAGTTCAATGGGTTAGACCCCAAACACATCAAAGGGGAGAAATTCTATTAGCATTGAAATTCTGTTATCTTCCCATTTTTTCCTGGATACGGAACTCTTGACAAATGAAATTAAATCATTTTGACTTGTCACCTTGACCCTCATAATTATATGGATGTCTTTGTGGTGAATAAAAAACCAAAACGCTAGAATAAAATAAAGAGATAAAGGGGAAGAAAAAGGAAAAGGGCTAGAGGGTGAGGGATAATTTGAAAGCTTGCTGTTGTAGATGATTATGACATGTAGTGCCTGTAACTTGTGAATAACAGCTCGTACGTTTTTGCAGTCGTCCTTGCTATCAATCTGGGAAGAACAATGAATGGTTAAGCTTTAATATAACCCCTCAATTCGAATATCGAAAATGATATTTGAAACACACACACTTATATATATGTGTGTGAACGCGCGCGAGGTACCAAATGAAAAAATCTTTGTCAAATTCCTTATATTCATTAAATTAAGTTTTCTAATCGTTCTGATGAGAATGAGAGATTCTCAGAGCATACGAACCTGTTACATGTGATTAAAAAACATGAAATAATGAATGTAAAGAATTTTACCCAAGTTTTTCATTTGGTATCTCATGTTTACACGTTTCAAATGTTATTTTTGATATTCGAATTGAGCGGTTCCCAATGAGTCCTCCCAATATTTGGTTTCATAAATATATTTAATCAAGAGATAAAGTGTTTAAATATTGTGAAAGTATTCACAAAAAAGCACCCAACACCTGAAAATTTTTTCTTAGACCCTTATATGTCCTGAAAGTTTATTTTTTAAGCAAAAATACCCTGACTATTAACAGTCAAATATAATGACTAATAATAATGTAGGACAAAAATGCTACAAAATAAAATTTTTAAAACATTTAGAACAAAAAATTAAAAAAAAATTCAGATGCTGAATACTTCTTTATGATACATTTAAAGTACTTTAGCAACCTCATTACCGATTATAATTCCATCCATTGAATTTTGTCAATGGAGCCTTAGGGTGTGTTTGGTATGAGGGATTTGGAAGGGAGGGGAGGGGAGGGGAGGGATTTTAATCATTTTTCCTTGTTTGGCAACACACAATTTTAGGAGGGGAGGGAAAATTTTTTAAAATTTCCCCTCCCCTCCCCTCCTCAACCTCCCCTCCAAAATTGGGAGGATTTGGAGGGAAAAGGTAATATTTTGTCATATTATGACCATTATGCTCATATTTTGTCATGTTGTGACTATTATGTTTATATTTTGTCATGTTGTGACTATTATGCCCACGCCTTAAATAAAATAAGAGCAAAATTGTCCATATTAAAATATTTTTCCCTCCCCTCCCCTCTTTTTTTTATAAATCCAAACAAGGTGATATTAAAATCCTTCCACTCCCCTCCCCTCCCCTTCCCTCCATTAAAATCCCTCCCCTCCCCTTCCTCTCATTGAGCCAAACATACCCTTAGGGTTGGTTTGGTTGGAGGGGAGGGGAGGGAAAATGAGCCCCTCCCCTCATTTGGTTAAAAATTTTAGAGGGGAGGGGAGCTAAAATGTCCCTTCCCCTCCCTCCTTCCATTTTGGCTCCCCTCCAAATTGGAGGTTTTTGGAGGGGAGCCAAAATTTTGGACCATTATGTCCTTATAGTTTTTTTAATATTTCACTTCTACCTATAAAATATATTATTATAATATTTATTTTAAATAAAAAATATATTATCCTAAGTAAAAAATAAAAAATATATACATTATTATAATTAAAAATAAATTATAAAAAATTATTTAAAAATAAAAAATTATTTAAATAAAAAATTATAATATTATAAAATTAATTTTTTATAAATATATTATTTATTAAATATATTTTAAAGCTGGAAAAAAAATAGCCTAAAGAGAATAAAATTTCATTTTTCTTAGAGCATATAAAATTTGTTAATTTGATTATTTTAAATATATTATTATATTAATTAGAATAAAAAATTACTGTTCTAATTTTTTAATGCACATATTAATATGATAAGACTGAATTTTTATTAAATTATATGATTTAAATTAAGATGTAAATTAATTTATATAATATATCAATAAAAAACATAAACTAATATATAAGGGTAAAATGGTAAATTGATTATTACTATCTCTCCCCTCTCCTCCTTGAACCAAACAAGGGATCATTAAATATCCTTCCCTTCCCTCCCTTCTTTTTAATCAAACCAAACAAAGTGAGGATGAAACCTCCCCTTCCCTATCCTTCCCTCAAACCAAACAGGCCCTTAATGAAGGAGAATGTACAAATTTTTTAATAAATAAATGTCTTTATTCCAATATCATCATTCATCAAATCACGATTCAAATCTCCAAAATTCAAAATGAAATCATAATTAAATCAAATCATAATTTTAAAAATTATTTTATATTATACAAAATAAACTAAAAATACTTTTTAAAAATAATTTTTGTTTCACCCAAATACCTTCATCGGACCCGAAAAACATCAGTCACGGCAAACAAACGTAAACCCGCCATTCACGTGTGCGTCACGTCATCAAGGGCGCGCTTATATAAGCAGAAGCCAGACACCGAGGACCCTAAAACCCTAACTCAGTCGTGCTAAAACTCTTGCGCCTTTCGTCTGCCCTGCAAAAACCTCCTGCCACTGAGAAATGGCTATGTACTCCATGCTTCGCCGCGCATCCTCATCAGTATTGCCTCTGGCATTTCGCACCATGGCATCTCCTAGAAACTTCCACTACGCTGCCTCTGCTGTTCGTACGGCTGGAATCAGTCATCGTCTCATTGAAAGGATCCTTCTACCCTCCGTGCGCTTAGGTAATTCCTTCGCTACGAAGACGAATGCCGATGAAAGTCTTCTTGGAGTCCTTGAAACTGAGATTCAATGCGCCGAAGAGGAGGAACATGAAGTGAGTAACAGTTATTTTTATATAATCATCTTCAAGCCTTTTTTACTCTCAGCTATTTGCAAGTGAATTTATCTTTTGTTTCTGGAATACGTATGCCTGAAATAATCTTTATCGCAAGTTGACAACAGAATGTCTTGACTATATTGATCACTTTGTTGCTATACGACTTTCCTCTGCATTCCTTGTCATTTTTAAGCATTCTTCTGCAGTCGTGAGACTAAATATTTTACAGCCCCAAAAAAACAAAACAGAAAAGTAATTTCATTATTAAATTGGGCAAGTGAGAAAAATTATGTAGAAAGTGAATAAGTGATACGGAAGTCAGTTTAGAAATTTAGTTAAGTATGTTTATTGGTTGTGTAATTACGGTCTTTTCTGATGTATTTGCTGTTTTTGTAGTTCAGATGTGTTGGTCTTTGTTTAGGTTTAATTAAGGTATGTTTTCATAAAAGTTTAGTGATGCCATTGTTTTCGGTGAAGTAGTTTTAGGAGTTGCTGCATATATCTCACCTTTTTTGAGGTGCGGCTTGCAAGGGATATAATGACTCAATTGTCATCAATCTGAGAAATAATGTAATTTTATGAATATTTGAATATATTAGGCAATAGCCGCTTTAATAGCCAACCTCTACTGCTATTATATAACCTACCAGCAAGTTTTAATTATTTTAGATTACCCTAACTCTGCTTTTCTTAAACAAAGAATTAAAAACTGGGTAATTGTTTCTATAGGGAAAGAATACCTGATGCAGCCATTATGAGGATGCTATTTGATTGCTTTTCCATAGAATTTATTTGAATGTGATGTTAGTTATGATGTTAGCCTACCTATTGATTTTGTTGCCTTTTCTTTTGTGCAAATCTTTATTAAGGTGGAGGAAGTGCCAAATGATTTTCCATTTTCAATTGAAGACAATCCTGGTGAGAGAACCATTCTCCTTAAGAGACAATATGAGGATGAAACCATCATAGTGCAAGTTGACATCCCAAATGTAGCGGCGGAGAAGATGAGGATGAGGGTAATGATGAGGAGGAGAAGCGTGATGAATCTAGCATTCCTTTAGTTGTAAATATTTCCAAACCAAATGGGGTCACTCTGGAGTTTGGTGTGAGTGCATTTCCTGATGAGATTTCCATAGAGAGTTTGTCCATAAAACAGTCAGAAGAATCAGAAGACCAGCTTGCATATGAGGGACCTGAGTTCCAGTAAGCACTCCTTTATAGATGACATTATCTAAACCTTTTTTGTAATTTTCCATCTTCCTATTGCTGATGGTTTAATCATACTTTTGTCTACAGTGATCTGGATGAAAATTTGCAAAAGGCGTTCCACAAGTATCTTGAGATACGAGGGGTCAAACCCAGCACAACTAACTTTATGCATGAATATATGGTCAACAAGGACAGCAAAGAATACTCCATGTGGCTGAAGAATCTGAAGAAATTTATTGAGACATGATTTAGAATATATGGTCAGCCAGGTAGAGTGTCATCCTTCATGGCAGCAGGACAAATTACGGGCTTTCTGCAAGTCCAAGGGTGTACACCTCTCTGTAGGTCCTCTTATTTTGAATTACCCTCAATCAACTGCCTGAAAAGTGGCTGTTATTTATGTTAGATTTTTAAGAGTCGGCAAGTTGGCCTTAAAATCTGGTTTTATCCCTTGAATTGAGTTTCGAAGTGCACATGGCTAGGGATATTCTCCATTAGGTTCTCCCGGGACAACCTGCCTTCAGAGTGATGTTCTGAAGCATCCAACCCTGAACATGCTTGCGGAGAGATTAGGCAAGACTCCTGCACAGATAGCTCTTCGTTGGGGACTGCAAATGGGTCACAGCGTGCTTCCTAAGAGTACAAATGAAGCAAGGATAAAGAGAACTTTGATGTTTTTGACTGGTCGATACCTGAGGACTTGTTTGCGAAATTTTCTGAGATTACACAGGTTAATTTTTGATGTTTATCTTCACTCTTTTTGCTATTTCAAGACGTGAACTGATAATAAATAATGTGAATGCGATAACAACTATGGTATATAAAGTCGTGATTATCCTGACAATGGATCATATTTTGCAGTCAAGATTAATCAGGGGTACTGCATTTGTCCACGAAACTTATGGAGTTTACAGATCCATTGAGGAATTCTGGGATGGTGAAATTTGAGCATTAGGCTGAATGACCAATTGGACAAGCCGAAGGAATAAGAGTGAAGTGTCTTTTGGCCTTTTGAGTGAGTAGGAGTAGGGGCTCTGGGAAAGTGGAGATTTGTAGACTCTGTTCACTTTCTCAGCAAAACCGGTCCTTAAATACGTTTGATCATTGGCTGCAATTTCTGTTCATGGATTATTGGATGACTAATGTAGTTAATCTTTCAACAACTGCATGATTTATTGAAAGATTACATTGTGACCCCTGACAATGTGTCTGGAGTCTAATGTAAACTGTATGACCCCTGAATAAATATTATATATATAATGAATATATATTATTTAGTTATATAAAACCTAAAATAATCATATTGCAATTATTTAATTGTTAACAAGATAACATATATAGAAGTTGTTAAAACAAGCTGCACCAAGTTTGAGGTCAAGCAATGTTGTCACTGTTTGTGAATAATTTCTTTTCTGCTTTATTCATTCCTGTATTTGAGTTCAGGAACCCAACGTTAGACCTAGAATGGCTTATCATTGAGACCAAATGTGGCAATAATAATCTGAATTCTTATTTACCCAAAAAAAAATTGTAACTTCCTATGTAGTTTATAATTCATTAATTATATATATCAATATATTGATACTAACATTGATCCCAAATTTATGATAAAATTTCCCCTAAAGAATGATTATGCACATTACACATAGAACATGCATACATCGAACTTTGAAGTGGCAAAAAAATTACAAAGTTAAGAAAAATAAAAAGATTGCACACCTTTCACTGACACACCAATTTGTTTTTGCTGGGCTTCCATGATCCTTGCCTTAGAGCTCATTACGGATTCGAATTCCATCCATTGAATTTTGTCGATGGAGCCAAAACCAAGGAGAAGGTACAAATTTTTTAAATAAATAAATGTCTCTATTCCAATATCATCAAATCACAATTCAAATCTCTAAAATTCAAAATGAAATCACAGGTGGACCAAACCATAATTTTAAAAATAATTTTACATTATACAAAATAAATATGTGAAAAAAAAAATTTATTTCAATTAGCATAAAAATATTTTTTTAAAAATGATTTTTGTTTGACCCAAATACCTCCACCGAAGCGGAAAAACATTAATCACGGCAAACAAACATAGACCCGCCATTCACGTGTGCGTCACGTGATCAATGGAGCATATAAGCAGAACCCAGAGACCAAGGGCGCTAAAACCCTAAATCAGTCGTGGTAAAACCCTTGCGCCTTTCTTCTACCCCGCAAAAACCCCCTCCTACTGAGAAATGGCTATGTACTCCATGCTTCGCCGCGCATCCTCATCAGCATTGCCTCTGGCATTTCGCGCCGTGGCATCTCCTAGAAGCTTCCACTATGCTGCCTCTGCTGTTCGTACAGCTGGAATCAGTCATCGTCTCGTTGAAAGGATCCTTCTACCCTCCGTGCGCTTAGCTAATTCCTTCGCTACAAAGACGAGTGCCGATGAAAGTCTTCTTCGAGTCCTTGAAACTGAGATTCAATGCGCCGAGGAGGAGGAACATGAAGTGAGTAACAGATGCATTTCTTATATTTTTATATAATCATCTTCAAGCCTTTTTTACTCTCAGTTATCAATCGGTATACTGATCCACATACTCTACAGCAATCATGCTCATAATTCAACTTCTATTTTCGGAGGAAAATTTTCAGGAAGCTATTTGCAAGTGAATTTTTCTTTTGTTTCTGGAATACGTATGCCTGAAATAATCTTTATCACAAGTTGACAACAGAATGACTTAACTTTATTGATCACTTTGTTGCTATACGACTTTCCTCTGCATTCCTTGTCATTTTTAAGCATTCTTCTGCAGTCGTGAGACTAAATATTTTGCAGCCCCAAAAAAACAGAAGAGAAAAGGAATTTCATTATTAAATTGGGCAAGTGAGAAAAGTTATGTAGAAAGTGAATAAGTGATACGGAAGTCGGTTTAGAAATTTAGATAAGTATGTTTATTTGTTGTGTAATTATGGTCTTTTCTGATATATTTGCTGTTTTTGTAGTTCAGATGTGTTGGTCTTTGTTTAGGTTTAATTAAGGTATGTTTTCATAAAAGTTTAGTGATGCCATTGTCTTCAGTGAAGTACTTTTAGGAGTTGCTGATTATATCTCACCTTTTTTGAGATGCGGCTTGCAGGGATATAATGACTCAATTGTCACTATGTTTTGCATTGAAGTATTGGATCAATCTGAGAAATCATGTAATTTTATGAATACTTGAATATATTAGGCAATAGCCGCTTTAATAGCCAGCCTCTAATGCTATTATATAACCTACCAGCAAGTTTTAATTATTTACGATCACACTAACTCTGCTTTTCTTAAACAGAGAAGAAAAAACAGGGTAATTGTTTCTATATGGAAAGAATACCTGATGCAGCCATTATGAGGATGCTATTTGATGGCTTTTCCATAGAATTTATTTGAATGTGATATTAATTATGATGTTAGCCTACCTATTGATTTTGTTGCCTTTTCTTTTGTGCAAATCTTTATTAAGGTGGAGGAAGTGCCAAACGATTTTCCATTTTCAATTGAAGACAATCTTGGTGAGAGAACCATTCTCCTTAAGAGACAATATGAGGATGAAACCATCATAGTGCAAGTTGACATCCCAAATGTAGCGGCTGAAGAAGATGAGGATGAGGGTAATGATGAGGAGGAGAAGCGTGATGAATCTAGCATTCCTTTAGTTGTAAATATTTCCAAACCAAATGGGGTCACTCTGGAGTTTGGCGTGAGTGCATTTCCTGATGAGATTTCCATAGAGAGTTTGTCCATAAAACAGTCAGAAGAATCAGAAGACCAGCTTGCATATGAGGGACCTGAGTTCCAGTAAGTACTCCTTTATAGATGACATTGTCTAAACCTTTTTTGTAATTTTCCATCTTCCTATTGCTGATGGTTTAATCATACTTTTGTCTACAGTGATTTGGATGAAAATTTGCAAAAGGCGTTCCACAAGTATCTTGAGATACGAGGGATCAAACCCAGCACAACTAACTTTATGCATGAATATATGGTCAACAAGGACAGCAAAGAATACTCCATGTGGCTGAAGAATCTGAAGAAATTTATTGAGACATGATTTAGAACTATTTTTTATTACGAGTGGTGAACCCCTCGTCGTGTTCAGGATTCATTCATAACCGTTGTTCTCATGTTATGATAAGTGCTGGAGTAGATTATTGATTTTGATCAACTGTTTAGGGAGACAGTTGCTTTGGATGGTTCAAAGTTATCTTAGCCTCTTGTATGTTTTTGAATTCCTAATTTCCTTCCATAAGATGGTCAGAAGAGTATAGTTTACCATGCCCAAATCTGATAAATAACATTCAGCTGTTTAGGATTTTGAAGACCAAAGTACACGATTGACGATTCAGGTACCCACATGTTCAAATTGTTGCATAACAGGTTTGAATCCATTTGACTCCGGATTCACTAATATTGCATGGGCCGACCAGGTAAATGCGTGGCGGATTCTTTTTAAAGAGAAATATAATCGAATTTATTAAGCGAGCTAGATCGGGTCCCTGAAAAATAAATGGGCATAGCTCACTCATAAAAATATATAAGAAATGAAATATGATCAATACTTGTAAATTGAAATATGATTAATATTGACATGTTAAATCTAAATTAAAAATTTTGAAGTCGCTGCAAAACTTTTTAATCCTGAAAAGTGAATGGTATTTCGCCGTTTCATTAGAATTCTTGTGGTCGCCCTTGAAGATCAATGAAGTATTTCGGGGGAAAAAAACAAAAATCTACTCTCTCTCTCTCTCTCTCTCTATATATATATATATAATATTACTTGTAAGAATGAAGCGAGTGTGAGTGGTTAAGACTTGAGAAGAAGCGGGGTCGAGCTACCCTCCTCCGTTCGTTCATTCATTCTGGTGGAAACAGTTGTGTTGCTGTTTTGCAAACTATTCCAATTCTCTACCAACCAGATCATGGCTTTTGTGTTGAGAGAGAGAGACGGAGAGAGCCTGGGAATTCACAAATTTGTTTCATCCGAACTCAAATTTTTCATCAAGTGTTTAATGAAGTGTTAATGAAGGATACATACATTAATTAACAGGGGAAGGACCGAAGGAGAGAGATCAAGGGTTCGCTCAATTTCCAGCTTCTTCGTGGCTTAATTTGACTTAAAGCAATGAAGAAAAGAATAACCAAAAGGCAGACATTAACCAAGTCTTAAGCAATCAGGAAGAAATTCCAATTTAGAATCAAATTTATGTCTATATGTTTCTACAAATCGACTACTTAACAACCAAGATTTTGATGAATGCTATCTAAATCTTCTGCTGTATAACTAATCATCCTGATAAATGAATGAATGGACAAACCAGTCTGCAAAATTCGTATGTTATATACAGCAAACGCAGCTCCTAAGTGAAAGAAAAGAAGCTTCAGACACAGGTATTGCCACCCCCGTCACAGGTGCAGCCGCCGTTGCCGGAGGTGGAATCGCCGCCGTCATGGCGGGGCTTGGTACTGAGACAACAACACACGAGACCCACCAACAGCATGAAACCCCATGCAGCAGCCAAAGCCTGTGCCCACCTCAGATATCGTTCCTCCATTTTATTCTCAGAAGTTTCCTCAGCCTCTTCCTTCATTCATAAATATCTCATTCCCATCTTTTCTTCTTCTCTGGTGTTGTGTTCACACCTTCACATCATCTGTTTCCTCACTTTTTAATTCTCTGTTTCTCTTTTTCTCTCACCACTCACAAGTCACAAGTTGGTACATTTTATCCTGAATTTGTATATCTATAATAAATGTCTTTCCCACCTTAATCACCTCAATTTTGAGACCAATCGTTAAGTTAGTTGGCCAAAGAGACTAATCTTAAATTTAATGCCTTGTACCTTTTGATTCATACGCGTTTTACACGCGTTTATGTTTTGCTCATCCCTCTGCTTGAAACCCACATATACTTAAAACAAAAATAAATAAATATATGTTAAAAATATAGGCAATTTTTCAATAATAAAAGGAGATATTTGTAAATAAAAATCAAGAAAATATAAAAATACCTGTTAATTTTAGAAATGAAAATAAAATTCGCATAATTTAAATAAAACTCAACGACAATTTTTGCATCTCGTTTTTATCTGTATAAAATAAAAAAGAATAGTTGGCCAAAAAAATAAAAAAGCACAGGGAGATGCACATGAAATGGAACAGCCTGTGACGTGAATGAAGCTAGCACTGACCACCACAACTCCCCAGCCATCATCATCTTTTCTTGTAATTTTAGAAAACTCACTTGTTCTCCTTTTTTTTTTTAATATCACAAAGTAAAGAATATTAAAATTAAACTCCACAAATATTTTTTTAAGAACCTATAGTATAAACGAATTTGTGTGTAATTTCATAGAGAAAAATTATATAACTTAAATATATCTTACAATAGAATATTTTATATAATTTTAAGTCTTAAATGCTTTAAATAAATATAAAAGTATGCGTCTTGGCAACTGGCAGACAGATGGGTGCATTTACAGTCGATTTTTTTTCAGATTAACTTATTTTATGAATAAAATATTTTTTTTTTCCGCATAAGAGTAAGGTTCTCTTTATTGATGCACATGCGATATGTTCATACGTTGCTGGCTTGGCCCAATTGCTATTGGAGAAGCCAGCCAACATAATATCTTTAAACATAAAAGAACATTTCAAAATTTAAACGACTCGTTTCATAGGAGAAAAGGTGAAGAAGGCAAGCCAGCGACAAAAACAAGAATGTGTGGGGCAATTATCATTTTGTTCAACAAATGTGGATCCCATCAATTATTGAATGTGCGATATCAAGATTTTTATTGATATATTAATAATATAAATAAATAAATAAGTTGCAGATTCACAAGAGAGGCGAGTTTTTTTTTTTTCACGTCAATTATATTTATATTTCAAAATATCTGGAATAATTATTTTAATATACAAGTATTTTAATTATATTATAATTTTATGAAAACACTTGTAAATAAAGTCGACTTGAACGGAAACTTCCCGGGACATTCCAAAGGGTTTCGTGGAAGCCAAGTTCATGCAAGACACAAGTTGAGCATATTCCAAGTGAGCATTTCAAATAACTTTTTACGTCTTTATTTATTTCCATTTTCCAGTAATAAAACTCTGATAAAATTTCTATTCCACATCTTAAAATGTTTTCATCAATCAAATCACTTCTAAGATTAACGAAGAGCCGCGCATAGAAATGCAATAACAATTATTTAAAATTAATTAAAAACTAATAAAAACAAATGAAATCGAACGAACCTTTTTTATTTGTTCAGGACCACAAATCAATAAAAATCAGGACCTTAAAAAATCAAAAACAGAAAAATTCACTTTAGAACTAATCAAGCTCATATAAGGTAATGACGGAAGAATTAGTATATATTTTTAATTTTTAATCCTATAAAATTAAAAAAAGAAAGATATTTAATCATCATTGTGCAATCATAATTCCATCACAGTTAAGTTAATAATCATAAACAAGTTCATTTTGAAAATTTCCAAAGATCAGTAAAATGAGACGGGCAACCATATTGGTGTTTGTACTCAACCCTACAGCTAGCGCCACTTTAAGAGCGAGCAAAGGGCAAGGCTGACAAAACAGAAGTAGCATAAAGTATGAATTCTGAAAACTACTGATGAAATTTAAGACCCAATATGGTGAGAATTTCAAGAGCACAGCATGTAAACCGTTGAAAAGCATCCTCACGATGTGGTCAACAACCAGAATAGTGTAATTTACATGAACAAGATCTCTGACCATATACATTCTGTTTGTAACCTGCAATGGTTAATACATTGCCCCGCACAGTCCCATTCCATTTCCAGTCACCAGAAATTACTTTAACTGAAAAAGCGGCGACACCTAAATCAATAATAATACCATAAAAGCTGCATCAATGTTGCAATCAACATCGTGATTACAAAAATAGAAGAGAATGTAGGAAATCTAAAAGCAATATTTTCATTCTGCTTCTGCACAAGTAACCAAAAAACACGAAACTAAAGCACCCACAAGTAACTTTGCAAGGAACAAATAAGATGCAGAACAAATAGAAAAGTCATCACATTGAGTCCATTTTTTTTTTCAATTAAAAAAGCAGGCACTAACAACCTGAGGTTATGAGCAAGATGGAACCCATGACCTCCCATTTATAAGAAAAGCTTACATACGACTAGGCTAAAATCCACGTCGAGTCCCATGCCACAGGCTTACATTGTGTCCAATTTAATGGTGGATACATCTCATGGATCATATTCAAAGGATAATTGATCACAATTCGCATTTTAGTCCTGGGTAGAAATGCAACAACATCCTCACAAGTATTATGGAGCACAAAGTGAAAGGAGAAGCAAACTCAAGGTCACCAAAATACGAAAGGCCTTCCAAGTTCCAACCAATATGCATTGTGTTAGGTAAACCTTGGTTAGGATAAACTAGATCAACAGACCAAAAAATTCTACCATAATTTCGGATCTCAGACATCACTAAACATGGTGCAATACACTAGGCTGCTACTCCTTTTTAAAACCTATAAAGCAACCAGTCTGCTTCTTAATCACTTCTAGATGGAGTTCTGCTACATAAAATTCATATCCGTAGTGAAGATCACTAAGTAGATAACTGCATGCAAATATAAAAGCAGAAAGCATTGACACACCCAGTAAATACCGTGCAAGCTACAGCTCACTATAGTTGTGCCACACTGCACGAAACTAATTAGATAACTGCATGCAAATATAAAAGCAGAAAGCATTGACGTACCCAGCAAACACCGTGTAAGCTACAGCTCACTGTAATTGCGCCACACTGCACGAAACTCTTCCCGGAATGTGTTCAGACGCGCCTTCAAGTTTGGGGTCCTAAAGCTTGCATGCAGGATGGTAGCTGAAAAGTGCGAGTGGGGGTTAATCAACTTAAAAAAAATAAAAGGAAAAAAAATATAAATGTTAACAAGAAGGGTCAAAATTTATCCATATGTGATATACCAAGAAGACCAATTGCAAGCGCCCACAACACAGTTAGAAGACCAGCAGAGACAAACCAAAGGATGAAACTTACTGCACAAAGAGCAGAGGAAAAATATCACTACTCTACTATTTTAAGTTAGAAGATGAATTGCAATTATTCGAATTTATCCCCAAAATATGGTTATAACAAAAAGGAGGATCCTTGTTGGAATGATTCAATTACCAAATGAAGACATCAGCACAAAGAACCAACGAGGTCGACCACAAATATATATTGTTCTCTTAGCTGATGGGCGTCCACGAATAACAGGCCTGGCATTTGAATAATTTATTTTATCATGACCAAAGAAAAAAAAGACGCAGCAATACTTGACGTATCACAGAAATAAATAAAAAGCAGACACACTGACGTAAGAGGAGGTCTCATCTTGGCTGCTAGATGTGGTGAAAATTGCCTAACTGTTCTTGTTACTTTCTCACTAAAGGTTCCTGCAAAGCTGCCAAATATTACAGATTAAATCAATGCATGAGAAACACCAAAGATTAAACACTTATGATATAATGGGTTAACAATTCAATAAGACAGTAAAATTTGTTTCCCTCAGCCCTCTAAAGTGCCTAATCCAAGATCCTAAAATCAAGTTTAACAAAAACTCCTTACATTTTTATTGAAAATTGTAAGATGCTGAAGTCTTCCATAATCAGCGGCTATGTATCTTTGTGCAATTCAATTAAAAAGAAAAAGAAAAAAAACGGAACACTCACACACACACAAATGCATACATGATCGGATACATCAGCTATTAAACTGTCATATATAACACAAAAATACCATACGCTATGGTGCCATGAAACATGACTTATTTTGGTATCAGAAGCAAAAGTCAGATGACCAATGCCTAATATGGCAGCAGTATCCTAAATGATTTAAGGAAAACATTCTTCCTAGACAGAAGTACAATGACATTAGACCAAGCTATTCATGAAATTAAGTGAACTCCAACTGATGATGTAATAAGGGAGGCAGTTATTTTACAAACCTGTCATTTAGAAAAGCAAGGCTAAGTGCTGTAAGGAATGCAGCTACAATAGCTAGTGGCCTCCGAAGAAAACCCAATACTACAATTCAAATCATAAAAGTTGAGTAGGGAAGCTATATATCAAGTGGAAATGAAAAAAAAATATGAATTATGTTCACTTACTGAGAACAGAAACAATCAAAAGGAAGTAGTTGGTCCGGTAGCTGCAAATACAGGCATAATCATCATTATTTACTGAAGAATATTATGAAAATTAGGAATAGTAATTATACCTCTTGTCAACAGAAATAATTCTAAAACAAAGAATTAAGTATTACCCAAATATAAAAGGAGGCGGGGAGGGGGAAGAGAACAAAAATGCACAATCCAGTTTGGCCGCGGAAAGTTATCCAAATTATTAAATTCATAAGCTCAAAATTATCATAGAACTTGAAAAAAGGGGGGAAAAAAAAGACCATAAATAAGTATTTAAACAAACAAAGGAGAACATGACAAGAGATAACTTCGTCAAGGATATGATACAGAAGGCAGCAAAAGGGCAAGAGGGAAGACAGAGCAGTGAGAAGGCTCCAGCTGTGGGCGCAAGAGTACCAATGGAACAAAGACTTGATGTTGTTTAGAAGGGTAAGCAGAGAGGATAACAAATCTATCAACCAACTAAATTAAAATTCCCTTCAATAGAGGAGTATACTGCCGGAATGCAAGAGAGGCATGGAAAAAACTTGTATGGATAGCTTTAGCTTGGACTTTGGTGCTCCTTCCAGACTTGAAGAGGAAGATCTCCTTTCTGTTTTCCTCAATCCTTCCTATGAGGAAATTTACCTTTCATTTATCTGTTTTGGTTTTTGTTACTTTATGTTCGGCTGGTCCTTCTTGATACCCAAGATTCTATCGGAACGTATGCAGGCCGCAAATCTATAGTATAGGCAATTTTAGTAAGCTTATGCTGTTACTCATCTCCAAGTTCAATTGCGCAGAGGAACTATAAATTTATTCACCAGTTATCCTGGCCTGGTAGTATTGGCTCAGCAACCTACAAAGTCTCAAAAGCATTGCTTTAATATTTGGCCTAAATATTAGGAATTAGGATTATTAAAGTTTTCCTATATCCATTAATTACTGTCCAATCTGGGGTTGCATTTCAAAGTTGGGACAGGATTAAGAACTTGTCAAACAAAACAAAATCATTGTGGGTTTTGATGAAAATTGTAAAAATAAAATATTGTTAACACAATTTTCCATTGACGGGGAAAATCACCATAGGAACAAGAAAAAACTAAATAAAAACAAAGTATCCAAAAATCGTTGAGTCAAAAATCACCATCATTGAAGCACTATCCGATATAATTTACAGAAACCGAAGTGTAAAAGGACGGCGATATCTTTCAGCTACTGTACAATATGACAAATTGAACTCAAAACCAAGTGATTTTTGAAGAGAACTACAAAGTCCGGAATGGAAATCGTACTAGTATAGGTTGCATTTGAGGCGGCTATTCCATTTAGAGTAGGATCTCGGTACGGTGAATCTCGAGAAGAATTCAGAGAGAGGTCGCGGCGGTGATGACCAGTCCACTTCGCGGAGGGCATCGAGCAGATCTTCAGCTGTCACATTTCCCCAGTCCATGACTCCGATTCTCCTCGTCTGCGCAGCAAAAGCCCTAGGAAGAAGGGGAATTCAGTGTAACCTATATGGAATTCGAAGCAAAGAGTGGAGACAGATGTCGTATTCTGCATTCAACGAGTGATCAGTGATGGAAAAAATGTAAGAAAACTAGAAAAGACTGTTGTAATATATCTATAACGAAGAAGGATATGCAACTCTGAAAAATGGAAAAAATAAAAAAAGGAAACGAAAATGTCTGAGCCCGGGTTCGAACCGGGGACCTCTAGTGTGTGAGACTAGCGTGATAACCAACTACACCACCCAGACAACTTGGGTTTGAACTACAATAAGAATTTTGAAGTTTAAAACAGAAGAACAATTGCATTTTCAACTCAAATAAAGCCCACTTGCTTAGGCGCCGGGAAAAAATAATAAGGCCCGGATGTGTACTTTTTTATTATAGGAGATGAATTAATCATATATTATATAAATTATATATATTTTATCTGTGCCTAAAAAATACATGCATTTTATTATATATGAATATAATATAATGATATATTGATATTAATATGTACCATAGGAATAATGCCCAACTTTTTCCCCCACTTTCTAGATAGAAGATGACTCAAAATCAAATACTAGTGGAAAGAGTTTTGTCAGATGTTTACAGCTGCTTCCGCTTCGCCTTTCAGTGTTGCTACCCCCCCGGGGGGGGGGGGGGATAACGTATGTATGCAATTTCTAAGTTTGGTTCATTCAAAATGTACTCATAATATATTTCTTAATTTAATCAAACGTTTGTTTATGAAAACTTTTTGCTTTTTTATTTCTGGCCAATAAATAGTGAAGAAAGCAAGAGAACAACCTTTTGCTTTTGCTCTTATTAGTAATTAGCAATTCAAGGGACACACGACACAGATGGCATTTCTGCTATGAAAGGGTTACCAAATGGGCTAACGATATCTTAATGCTGAACGGATTGAACTACTATATGAGGACTCAGGGTACGTAGCGCCGTCAGAGGGAGCCAAAAACAATGTAAATGGCAGTTTCTGATATACTACATGTAAATGCTCCTTTATATTATAATTGATCTCTAACATATTTTATCAACTCAAATCCTATTTGAAAATTAAAAATAGTTTTCCAATTTTGTCCATATCAAATATGTCATTAAAAAGGTTTCTTACTTTATTACAATGAAGTTAAATATGAGTGAAAAAACGGTAGTAATACATGATTGATATGGTGTTCTGTGAAAGGATTATACTACCTTCGGTCCTTAATATAAGATCCCGTTTGACTTTTTGTTTGGTCTTAATTATAAGACCCCAATCCATTTTTTCTCTCATATTTATGTATTTTTTTCCAAGATAGTCCTTCTAATAATGATAGTTCTAGCCAATACACTTAATTAACAAAGATATTTTAGGAATGACAACACTTATTTATTACAAATAACTACCTTAACTTACTTCCTTAATCTCTTCAAATAAGTCAACTGGATCTTATAATTAGGACCGAAGGTAGTACTAATTTCTTCTCTAAATGTCTTATAAATAAAAGCTAGATGGAGTATTACCAACAGCCATTTGTCATAATGGAAGGATTTTTTTTTTTTGTTGAACAAGAGGGCTAAAGCTCAAAAGCCTTAAAACAAACTAATGGGGACTAGATCCCAAACACTCAGTATCAAACAAGGTCCTCAAATGCGGAGGACAAGAATCAAAAAGAGAAGAGTTTGATAATCCTCCTCTAGCCGAGTTGATTCTACTCCCTTGATATATGTTGTATTTCAAGGTCCCAATCATTCATCATTAACTCTCTTATTTGCTCTGAGTTATTGCCTTTTTTCTTCAACAAATCAATTGGGATTTTTGAATTGGGTTCTAAAATCACCTTCTTAAAACCAAAATCCCAGGCTAATTTAAGACCCTTGAAAATTGCCCACTGTTCAGCCTCAATAGCAGAGCAATTATACCATTACTATCTCCCAAAACTCCACCATACCCGGCTTTTCTCAAAGATGCAGTCATAGCACCATCTACATTAACTTTTATCCATCTAGAATTTGGGGGGCTCCAAGAGGAATCATTTGTGGCAAACTGAGTAGCTCTAGTATCATCCTGTATGATGACATAATTTCTCTAGCAATTCTCAATTACAACAATTGGTTCAAGCGGCTTCTGAAAATCAGAGCTAAAAACCACCTCATTCCTCCATAGCCAAAGTTTCCAAGTAGTAAAAGCCCATTTCAAATCCCAACTACTATTCTCATTCAACCCCAAATCTCTTTTCAGGTTCAAAGCAAACCAATCTTTCAATGAAGAATTAAAGAACTGAGCATGATACATTGGTTTAATAAGCTGCCTCCATAATTGCGTTGCATAAACACAATCTCTTAAAATGTGCAAGGTACTCTCCACATCATTATTGCAATGGGGACAAATAGCCAGAGAAGAAAGCCATTTGCTTCTCCATTCATTAGTAGGAAGTTTTTTCTGAAATGTCATCCATAAGAAAATCCTAATACACTAAGCTCCTTGTCATTTCTAAATAGCTTTATAAACTGGGCAGTGAGCATTAGAAGTGTTCCCCTCTATCATATAATAGGCACTCTTCACAGTGAAGCCACCATCTATTGTACCATTCCAAGATAAAATATCATCTCCTGTAGTATCCATAGGAGGCAGCAAAGTTATGAGTCTTTGAAATATATCAGCTTGAACAATGATGGCAAGCCTATCAAAATCCCAAGACCCATGCTTAGTCCAATTGAACACCTTGCTTTCTTCCTCTATACAAGTGAGAGGTCTAGCACAAAATTCTTTAATAGATCCATCCAGAAGAACCCATTGTTCTGTGAAAAAATTAATTGATCGCCCATTTCTTACAGTCCATTTGGATCCCAACTCAACAATTTCCTGTTGTTGTGATAAAAAGTGCCACAAGGTTGAATCACCATTTTTTGCCTCAAGTGAATTGAACTCATTCCTGAGCATATATTTATTGAATAAAACCTCCACCCATAGTTCCTTTGACCCAGAAATAAGTTTCTAAGCAAATTTTGCTCCAGAAGCACAATTTAAAGAAGACAGTCTCGTGAATCCTACTCCCCCATAATTCTTAGGTAATAAACTTTGTTCCCATCTGATGGCACAAAGTCCATGAACTTTATGACTAGTTCTACAAATAAAATTTCTCTGTAACTTTTCAATCTCATTGCAAATTGAAAGTGGGATTTTAGCGACCTACATGGGATATAGAGGACTAGCACTAATCACAGACTTTGCAAAGGTAATTCTACTAGTCGTAGACAAACAGTTTTCCTTCCATGAAGCAAGCTTAGATTTGACTTTGTCAATTATATAACTAAAAGTATTCATTAAATTCCTCCCTCTGGTGATTGGAAAACCAAGGTACTTTCCAATTTCAGCAGAAATAGACATTGATGTAACATTGCAAATTCTTCTTCTAGTAGAGTTAGGAACCCTTGGAGAGAAAAAGATAGAAGATTTGTTCTTACTGATTTTTTCACCTGAAGCATCACAAAATCTATTCAAACAAATCAACATGCGGCTAGCTTGCTTCTCTGTAACTTCTCCAAAAAGAATGAGATCATCTGCAAACATAAAGAAATAAAAGGTCCCCCTTTAGTTATCATCACAGGTTTCCAATCTTTCCTACTAACAGCATCACAAATGACATGAGATAATCAATCCATGCAAAGAACAAACAACAAAGGAGAAATAGGATCCCTTTGCCGTAGACCCCTTCCAGGAGAAAAAAATTCAATCTGCGAGCCATTTTACAACACATTATAAGGAACAGAAGTAACACAAGCCATGATTAGATTGATGAAATTAGAATCCATCCCAGTACCAACTAGCATCTGTTTTAAGAAATCACATTGGATGCAATCATAGGCCTTCTCTAAATCTATTTTCCAAGCCATGGCTCCTCTCTCTCTAGACTTCTTTATCAAAAGTATAATTTCTTGCCCCACAATAATATTATCTTGTATATGTCTCCCCTTGACGAAACTAGCTTGATTGGGAGACACTAAGGGTGTGTTTGGTTGGAGGGGAGGGGAGGGGAGGGGAGGGGAGGGGAAATGAGCCCCTCCCCTCATTTGGTTAAAAATTTTGGAGGCGAGGTGAGCTAAAATGTCCCCTCCCCTCCCCTCCCCTCCCTCCCCCCATTTTGGCTCCCCTCCAAATTGAGGGTTTTTGGAGGGGAGCCAAAATTTTGGACCATTATGCCCTTATAATTTTTTTAATATTTCACTTCTGCCCATAAAATATATTATTATAATATTTATTTCAAATAAAAAATATATTATCTTAAGTAAAAAAATAAAAATATATATACATTATTATAATTAAAAATATATTTTAAAAATTATTTAAAAATAAAAAATTATTTAAATAAAAAATTATAATATTATAAAATTAATTGTTTTTTATAAATATATTATTTATTAAATATATTTTAAAGCTGGAAAAAAAGATAGCCTAAAGAAAATAAAATTTCATTTTTCTTAGAGCATATAAAATTTGTTAATTTGATTATTTTAAATATATTATTATATTAATTAGAATAAAAAATTACTATACCAATTTTTTAATACACATATTAACATGATAAGACTGAATTTTTATTAAATTATATAATTTAAATTAAGATGTAAATTAATGTATATAATATATCAATAAAAAAACATAAACTAATATGTAAGGGTAAAATGGTAAATTGATTATCCCTCCCCTCCTTGAACCAAACAAGGGATCATTAAATACCCTCCCCTCCCCTCCTTTTTAATCAAACCAAACAAGGTGAGGATAAAACCTCCCCTCCCCTTTCCTACCCCTCCCTCCCCTTCCCTCCCCTCAAACCAAACAGGCCCTAAGTCATCCATGTAATGCATCAATCTACTAGTAATCACTTTTGTAATACACTTATAATGAACGGTGCGTAAAGAGATCAGCCTAAAGTGATTAACCACATCAGGATTATCCTTCTTTGGAATGAGGAAAATAAGAGTCTTGTTAGCCTTAGTTAGAGAAGTATTACTTTTAAAAACATCTTTGACAAATTTACAAATAGAGGGACCCACCTTACTCTAATTTGATTGATAAAAAATAAGAGAGAAACCATCACAACCAGAGGCTTTATAAGGACCCATAGAGAAAGGGCATCTTTAATTTGTCCCTTGAGCACAATATCAAGTTGGAGTTGGTTAATTGTTCTGGAGCTTGGGCTAGCCCTCTTATGTTTTCTGTTCTCTTGTGGCTTTCTTGTTAGTTTGTGTTGTTTTGGTGCGTTTTTTGGTTTTTGGCATGGTAGGTTGTATGTTTAGGTTTTTTTTCACGAGTGTCTTTCTTTTTGGGCCTTAAGTAGCCATTGGTGTTTTTATCCTCTTTTTTTTTTTGTTATTAATAAAATTGATTGTTTTTGCTCCCAAAATAAAAAGCACAAGATCAAGTTCGAGTGTGAATGCAAAAACAGAATTTTGGAGGATTACCATCTGTTTGACCCAACAATTATAGCAGCACTCCATTCACTCTTTTTTAAAAGATTCAAATTCTTACATTTTCTTTCATCTTTTTTTCTATTATTTTTCTTTTTCACCTATTTTCTTATAAATAAGGATATATTTTTAAAAAGCACATTTTTTACATATTTATTATTTTAAACTAGTATTAAAGTTATTTAAATACTACCACCTCCGGTCTTTAATATAAGACCATGTTTGACTTTTATTTTGATTCTAAATATAAGATCCCAATCCACTTTATCTCTCATATTTATACTTTTTTTTTTCAAAGTAACTTTTTTAACAATGATAATTCTAGTTAATATATTGGATTAGCAAGGATATTTTAGGAAAAACAACACTTATTTAAAACAAATAATTAACTCAACTTACTTCTTTAATCTCCTCAAATTAATCAACTGGTTTTTATAATTAAGATCGGATGAAGTATTTTTTTGAAGAAAAAAAAACACAGGAAGGTATTTAACAGGCGACCGGCGATAAAAATGTCGGCGAAAGAAGCAAAGCATGGGGAGGGTTGGACGCTTGGAATTGGATGGTTAAAGAGGGAAAGGGAAGAAAGCGTAATAATTGAAGCTCCCAACCTGCGATGCCATTATTGCAGCTGACCCCACCGGATCGCCCGCCGTCCCACGTCAAAAACCATAACCAATCACAATCTCCCAGCACCCCAATGCTGACCTTTTCACCACAATTTCCCACCTTTTTCATGTTTTTTCCATCCTTTTCACTCATCATCCGGTTCATTCAATTCCCCTCCAAAATCTGACATTGGTGGCTGATAATAAATTTACTTAAAAAACGTGCTTCGTAAAATTCAGAATAATTCTTTTTTTAGCTGAATTCAGAATAATTCTATATATATATATATATATATATATTTTGCTGTTTTGTTTTCACGTTTTTGGCTCATTTAATTTTGAGGAATTATTACGGCCTATCGCATATGCCAGAATGATTCTCAAAGACGATGTTCTCAAACACAATTCAAACCATAGTTTTTACTTTTTATGTACCAACAAATAGTTGATAAATTACCACTAATGATTAGTATAAAAGCTAATTAAAAATTTAATTTAGTTCTAAATATAAAATCTTAATTTATTTTATTTTTAGTATTTATCTATTTTGTTCTCAAATAATTCTTATGGTAGTTATATATGTTAAAAAATTTCTTAAGCTAATTCTAATGCACATAATTAACAAAGATATATTATAAAAGATAAAATACATTTATTACAAATGAAGATTTTAACTAAATTTCTTAATATCCCCAAATCAGTTCCCTAACTCTTATTCTACCTTTGGTCCTTAAATTAAGAGTTAGATAATTAATTTGGAGATATTAGAAAAAAGTTAAGTTGGTTATTTGTTATAAATATATGTTAGTTTCTCTAAACCATTTTCTTCAGTCATATACATTGGATAACTGAAAATTATCCCTTGAAAGGAACCTCTTACAATCAATATTGATATTTTTGAGAAAGATAAGAAAAAATTGATTGAAATTTTATATTTAGAACTAAATCTAACTCCTAATTATAAAATTAGTTTTAAAACGTGTTAAAATTGAGTGGTAGTATGTGATTTATTGCCTGGGCGCCTGGGCCCTGGCGCTTATATTAGCTTGCGTGCTGAATATGCAAGCTGCAAGTGGACAACTCAGTCAATCACTTGTTTGGTTGTCGATGGAATGATTAATGGGAGAGAAAAGAATGGAATCCAATTCCAAGGCCCCATGAAATTGACCACAAAAGCCCTTGCATGAAGATGGACCATTATTAACACAGCAAGTTGATACATCAAGGAAAATGGCGGAAATGGCGGCGACTTGGAGGAAACTTCCTTCGTATATATTCTTAGGGATTGTCCCAAAGCAAAAGAGGCATGGACAAAACCAATGGAACCTTGGTTCCTCAATCATTTGTTTTCCCTTTGCCCCTTTCTGTTGCAATGAATTTTATACGCTGGAATGCTATCATTGAGCTTAATTGGGGTCTAGAAATAGGAAACCATTTTGTATAGTATCTCGAAAAAAAACTAGGAGGCTATTTTTGAAAAGATGGTGTCTGCTCATTAATCTTGTCCAATGATGGGGAAGGCCGGACGTAAAACATGTTCCTACAGGAATCACATGAATATTTATTAAAGAAAATAATTATTAGTAAATCCTAATGATAAATAAGCAGTTATAATTTACTACTTCCGGTCCTTAATATAAAACCTCATTTAATTTTTATTTTAATCCTAATTATAAGATTCCAATCCACTTTGTCTCTCATATTTATGTATTTTTTTCTAAGATAATTCTTCTAATAATGGTAGTTTTTAGCCAATACACTTGATTGGTAAGGATATTTTAGGAAAGACAATATCTCTTTATTACAAATAACTAATATAACTTATTTCCTTAATCTCCTCAAATTAGTCACCTAACTCTTATAATTAGGATCGGAGGTAGTACTATTTTTGAACCTATCATTATAAATTACTATATTGTCATTGAGATTTTTTAGTAACTATATTCCTTATTTAGTACCTCGTTACAATTCTCCCTATATATTATGACATTACACACATTTCTATTTAAAAAGAAGCATCCAATTAGATACTGCTAGGCTGGTGGATCATGGAGGAGAAAACAAGCTTTGTGAGAAACTTGAGAGAAGTAGCTATGGAGTTTGGTTAGGCGGCTTCAAATAAAAACTTGGTTTCCTTTTTAACACTATATAATAGATTTGCATGGCATCCTTAGAGGAACGAAATTGGTTCTATGGAAGCCCTTAGCCTTATCAAATGGCATCCTATTCTTGACAATTCTCAACCCCGACATATCTACACTAATAATAAAAAGTGACCTTGTTTTCGAAAAAGAAATATTTGTCAAAATTCTACGTATGGAGGATTTTTATGATCCCACTTAAGAGTATAATGAAAATGACATTAACAAATGTTGTATCGAACTTTAAAATGACATGCAAAATATGAAACAATTTTTTTAGCTTCGTATATTCTTTCTGTAAAAGGTAGGAATTGCCAATTGATGTTACTTTTTCCCCCCTAAAAATTATATTCTACTTTTTGTAGCATGCATTTTTTTAATATACAATGTGATTAGTCTTTTAAGAGGTATTTTATAAATTCTGGGATAATATGTGAGAAAAATTTTATTTCAATTTATATAAAAGTAATTTTTTTTAAAAGTAATCTTAAGGATTTGCCAAAGACCCATGGTCCCATTTAGTAGGAAACATTAAAAATTAGGGATAGGAATTGTGACTGTTATTGGAAAAAAATGTATTAAAAGAGTTTCTAAGACAAGATATTGCTTGTTATATGAGATTAACTAAATCTATGCATGCGGGATTGGAGAATAATGTGGAGAAAAATAGTATTCTCCAATCTTACCCCTATGTGTTTGTTTAATCTTATATAACAAGTAATTACTCATTCTAAATGTTATTTTAATATTTTTTTTAATTATAATTCCAGTCCTTTTCTCTCATTTTTAATATTTTGTAACGAACGGGACCCATATACTCAACGTCACCAACTTATTGGCAACATCATATTCAATGCATATCCATTTAAACCTTTCAGCATATCTCTTCCAATCCAACGAGTACACCTCACTTGTGCCCATGCCCCATAGTTTGGCAACACCTTCTATCACATTTATATTCATATGTCTTCACTTGTTTTAATACTTTCCACATACTAACTTCATCAGGCAGCATGTACGTGGTTCTGTTATATAGGTTGAAAATTATCGATAACAAGCTTTGAGAGAATTTTAATTTCCAATCACTCAACAACTATAAATTTGTTATACTTTCAATAACAATAATTAAAAAATATACGATCCTTTTCTTCCCGGTATCCAATTTGTGATTTATCGATTTTTTTTGGGGCTAATATCTTGCTTATCTTAGTTATCTTTCTAATTGGCTATCATTCTCATATAACTCTATGCAAATTGTAGAGGAAAATATTTAAATAGTTGTTTCATGTGAAAACATGGTTTTATATTTTAACAGCCAATCATGCTATAATTTCTAACTTATTTAGTATTAAATAATAATTTTTTTCATACTAGAAAATATTTGGTCGAAACATTTAATACTTGAAATTTGACATTTTTTGTTAATAAAAGTAACAGTTTTAGGTTTAGTTTTAAGATGACTAAAAAGGCGTTTTCTAAAATTAAAAGATTAAAGTAAATCTCAATTTTAAGTTAAAAATAAATTTTATTTTGATAAGATTTTTTTTTGCCAGGATAAAATATCACTCCATAAAATTTAATTACAAATTTGCCAAATCGTGGTCTCTCTAAATTAATTAATTAAATTAATGGCAAAAAAATTAAACTAAATTAATTAATTAAGTTTAATTTTTTTGCGAACTAATTAATTAAGTTTATTAAATGCGAGTAATGCACAAAACAAAACTTTGACCTGCTGATTAATTGATATATTAAATTAACCAGGAGGCTAATATGCAGATACAGCGTATCAGCTTCAATCATAAGATTTGGGTAACTTGGTTTCCTCTTTTTGTCATCATCATCACCACTTCGCCTTCAAACCTTCTTCTCTTCCTGTAATTTTTGGCAATAATCCTGAAGCAAAAAATTTATATAAACTTAATTCTTCTAATATTTCAAATTTCAAATTTCAAATTAAAAAATTAATATATCAACCAAGGTTCCATAGTCCATCAATCTGCCTTCCAAAGTTTTTCCGTCATTTTTTAGTGCAGTTCGACGGAGAAGCAGGGGTCTTCAAAAGGGTTTTGCTTCGAGTTGTCGAAAGATCCAACTCCGTCGTCGAGATTAGGATTTGGGCATTTGGAGCTGGTTTGGGTTCGGAGTTCCGCTTCTAGGGTTCTCGTTCATGGCTCAGTCGCCGGGTCGGGGCGGTTTGGTGGGAGACTACATCATCGGGAAGCAAATTGGGGCCGGGTCTTTCTCCGTGGTGTGGCATGGGAGGCACCGAGTCCATGGAACTGAGGTTGCCATTAAAGAGATCGCCACCAGTCGGCTTAACAAGAAGTTGCAGGAGAGTCTCATGTCTGAGATTTTTATCTTGAAGCGGATTGACCATCCTAATATAATTCGTTTGCATGATATAATTCAGGTGGGCTTTTTAATTTTTCTTGTTATCTATCTCCTCAATGGCATTTTCGCATTTAATTCGGGTTAAGAGGGATCACGGTGGTCGTTATTAGTGGAATCTCCCCCCTTCCCCCTGGGTTTTTTTTTTCCCCGCTTCGATATCTGATACAGCTGTTCGATTTGGCTGTGGAAGATTGAAGGGTGAAAAATAATGAATTTGGCAAAACAAAACGCGAGGAAAAAGGCTTCTGAAAAACGAAGTTGTTTAATGCTTGATTTCTTTAGCACAAATTCAACTTCCTAATTTTGTCTGATGAAGTTTGTGGAAATTTATAAGCTAATTTTCCCCCGTGTAAAGATCTTTTCCGCTATCGCTTTGTTAGTTTGAATTTTCAGTATATATGCACGTTGGACTCAACTGATGCTCCTTTCGTTGATTATTTGACTTGGGGAAATTCACATGTGGGTAACAAGCTGAAGGTTTTGGCTCGTAGCTAATTGTAGAAATTAAGAGCCAGCAAGTTCAGGGTACATCATTTCTGTTGACGCTGATTGGGAATCGCAATTGGCATTTACATTTATTCATTGATATTGATATCCTTCCAGATACTCCTGCTAAGAAATGTAATCTGCCATATTTGATGAGATGATCCGCCCGCTATATGTTCTGAGATTCTGAAGTCATTTATCCTGACGGAAGATGAAATATAGTTGTCGTCATTGGTCAAGTATTAGGTTTAACACAGAATTCTAGTACCTTTTATCTTGTGAAATGGATTAGTCTGGCTGGTAGTATCGTTTGTGGTAATTGTAATGCTGAATTGAATTTGCATTGGTGAGGTCTATCAATTAAGTGTCATCCACATTGCTAATTAAGTCTTATATTTGCTTAATGTAGGTTCCTGGGAAGATACATCTCGTGTTAGAGTACTGTAAAGGGGGTGATCTCTCTATGTATATACATCGCCGTGGAAGAGTCCAAGAGGGAACTGCAAAGCATTTTATGCAACAGCTAGGTATGTGAAGCAGAATTTAGAACTGAAACTCTACCTACTCACTAAGTGATCTGATAGCCTAATTCTAAATCAAGCCCAAAACAATAAATACGCCAAACTGAAGTTAAACGTTATAGGAGTTTGCATCCTGTATCCTGTATCGGTAGGCTTGAGCTCTATATACAATTTGTTATATGCTTATATCAACTACCATGGTAATAACGGAGAGAACTGTTTGTGTTACAGCTGCTGGCCTACAAGTTCTTCGAGATAATAATCTTATTCATAGAGATTTGAAACCACAGGTTTGGTTATGCTTACCCACTTGACCAAGTTGCTTAATTTCTTTTCTGTGGGTTTGTTCCTTGTATAGTTCAAAATTACAGCTCATGTCCTGCTATTAAGTCATTACTTGCATTTTCCGGATGACCATGTCTCTGTGTGTGTGTGAGAGAGTGAGAGAGAGAGAGAGTGTGTGTTTGTGTGTGTGTTTTAAGTGATAATTTAGTTTGACTGAGTCTTAGTTTAAAGATATTTAAAAGGTTAATACATCTATAGTGGTGGAGAAATATATCTCATTCCTGGATAGGGTGCATCAGATAAATTTCAAGTCTAAAAATTGTTCTTTGTGTGAATATCTGTGTTTGTTTAAAGCTTGTGAGGGTATTTTGTAAGTAATGATGGGTCTAATTTTTGCACAGAATCTTCTTCTCACCAGAAATGATGACAATTCAGTTCTGAAGATTGCTGATTTTGGATTTGCAAGGTATCCTAACTATTTTTACGTCATTCATATTTAATACTGACTCTTCCTACCCCTTCCGTCACCTTTTTCAATAAGGAAGTCGGAAAATCTCATTCATATATAGCAATTCTTTGAATTCTTTGATTGACAGATTTGACATATTTCTGCTTTATTCTTTGATCGCTTTGTCCATCTTCCTTTGTTCTTGTGGTGTATGTCAAATGAAGTATGTTGAGTCTTGAGATCCTTTGAATATTTTTTAAGATTTTGTTTAATTTGGAAGACATGAAATTCCGAGCCAATTCTCATTGTGTGATACTTTGATTTTATTAAATTATGCCTCTATACTGTAATTTTTGTGTTAACTTGACACGCCATGGCTATTTTATGATATCAACGGGGAAAACATGTTAAGTTCTGCAGAAATCTTGTTTATTTGGATTTTCAGCATGAACTATTCCTCTATGACATTGGGGAAAATGACTAGGGTCTTATAATGGCCCAGTTGTCTTCAAATGTGCTAATCTCTTGCAAGGGGCTCATTTGTATTCTTAGCAAAAAGATATAGTTAAAATGAGATCAATACATGAATGGTATTATGGCGGTTTTGAAGTCATTTGAATTTGAACTTCCCTTGAATTATCGAATCTTCTGCTGTGGATTAGATTGCTTTGCTCAGCCATTGACTTCTACAAAGGCAGGCATCTAGTCAAGAAAGGCTCTCTTCCGTTTCTACACATTTCTCTGAACTAGTTGTTAAAACACAGTTATCCGTTTTTGCAGATCTCTGCAACCCAAGGGTCTTGCAGAAACCTTGTGTGGTTCGCCTCTCTACATGGCTCCAGAAATTATGCAACTACAGAAGTATGACGCTAAGGTGATATTTGCTCTAGTGTAGTGGGCACTTTAATTGTTTCATGGTACTTCTTCCTATTAACCTTGCATCAAAAACACAGGCAGACCTCTGGAGTGTGGGTGCGATCTTATTTCAGCTTGTTACGGGAAGAACACCATATACTGGGAATAATCAAATACAGGTTTATGATTATGTTTCCTCACCTATTGCTGGATTTTATTTTCAACTAAAACAGATTATTTTTTTGCTGCTTAATATTTTAATTTTACATCCTTGATATATGTATTGTGGTAGTTCTCTAACTGATTATGATTCCTCTTCTTTTCATTGATAATTTATGTTTGCTATGATATGTGTTCTGCAGTTACTACAGAACATTGTGAAATCAACTGAGCTGCAGTTTCCATCTGATAATCAAAGTCTGAGTTATGAGTGTAAAGATTTATGTCAAAAATTGCTGCGACGTAGTCCAGGTATAATTGAAATATATCAAAAATTACAATTTAGATAATGAAAACTCTGGCCTGTCTAAGATATTTAATGGTGTATGTCGTAAGTATTTAATATTGGATTTAGTGACGACTGATGAGGGCATCCCTGAATAATTCTATGATTAGCCGCCCAGTAAAACCAAGCTCAGTACAAAGGCTATGCTATGGGGAAGAGGGATTTTATGTTGTAGTTCCAGTTGGTGATGTCAAATCACATTTGCCGAGGGTGCCATCAGTATGGGAGCCATTATACAACAAAACTGTGCTGACAAATCTGCTTTAATGTTTTAGGAATCCAGAATTTTACATAAATTGAAACATTCTCCCACTAATCATGCTCACAAGAATTAAGAAGGGATATTATGTATTTGTTTTTCCTGCTAATGTATACGACTTGAGGCATTGAATGCTTATTTTGGTATGTTGTGACATTTTTTTAGTTATATTTTATAATTAACTAAAAATGCAAGCCCCTCCTTTACCTTGGGCTACTTGCAAATTGCCCTATGAGCTTTTAGAGTTGGAAAATAGGTCCTGTCTTTTCTGCCCTTAATGCCACTCCCTCATATCCTACTTTACACCTCCCTTTAATTGACTTTATGATCTCCGATTTCCCTCAATGCCCGCTTGTCCTTATTCAGAGCTTTTTGCCCTTTTTTTTTTTTGTTTTTTTTGGGGGGGGGGGGGGAGGGCGCGGGATCTGAAGTGCAAGTAGCATGAGTTGATGATGTTAAATGTGAGTTAGACAGAAGGACCTCTTTTCTTGAGCATGCAAGCTGAGGGAAATCGTTATTCAAATTTTTGCTCCGGGAAAACAGGCAAAGGGATTGCATAAGACGTCGTAGGAACTTAAAATATCTTGATAATATCTTATTCTAATACATATTCTCTTATCTAATTTTATTTTTCAGTGGAACGGCTAACTTTTGAAGAATTTTTTAATCATCCATTTCTTTCTCAGAAGCGACCAGAACAGGACAAATCATTGAGGTGAAAGAAAGATTCTCAAAATTTGAATTGTTATAGTTGATGTCTTTAAAGTGTGCAAATATAAACTCCTTTTGGTTTGCAGACGTGGAAGTTCTTCAAAGATGGTAGATGAAATTTGCTTAACGGAGTCTAATCCTTTGAGGGCTAAGGAAAATCATCAAGAGGACTGCTTACCTTTCTTTTTGGATGATGATTCTTGTGGTCCTGAGGGGAGCCCAGCTTTCTCGAGGAAGAAATCCTCAATGAAGTCTACCTATGGGTTTGACCTTAATACACAGCGAGATAGAGCAGGCTCAGCATTCGCTACTTCTAATAACATAAATTTCACTTCCCGAGAGCAACCTGAAAACAGTGCTATAATGTTGGACAGCCATAGAACCTCAGCAAGAAATCTTGTTGATCCTCTAGAATCTCTAGAACAGATATTAGCAAACACTGGTTCAAGAGGTATCAATTAATTGTGATTTTTCTTCCTCATTCAGCTTATAATGTCCAAAACTAAGATATGTCTTTCTAATCTTTCTTAATGTTTCTTATATTGGATGCATGAATTTGGCAGTTGCAGACTCACTGGAGAATATTGATCAAGATTATGTTCTTGTATCGGGACCTCCTATGGATGTCTCATCAACTTCAGTAGGTGCATCAAAGCCAAGCCATTTTCCATATAGATCAGGTGCTTCCCCACAGGAGTCTTCTAATGTAATTGATAGAGTAAGTTCTCCAGTGCCAATACTTGGTGCTGCTACCAGTAGCACATGTCAAATTGGAAGTTTAGAAAGTCAGGACTCTGCTCCAGGGACTTCACATGCATCAATGGATACAGTAGATGAGCAGCCATCAGCTGACTGCATTACCAGAATAAAATCATTACAACAGTGTGCATCCACCATAACTGAATTAGTTCATGAAAAGGTAAATTTGCCTTTAAGCTTTATCCTGTCTTTGTGGATTTCTCTTTTCTCGGTGAAAGTTTATGATATAATTTCATGTAATGGTCGTTCGAAATGGGAGAGTTATAGATAGAATATTGTGTGAAAATAATCTGTTCACTATGTCCCTTTCTACTAAACCCTCCAAAAGATTACAATTTTTCCAGATAAAATATTGCATGATCAAACACAGTATATTCCTCAGAAGGATACAGACATTTGGATTATGGAATAGATTAGTGAAGTATTTCTTTACTGGGCTTCATATGTATAATGAATCAGTAGGCCACGTATTGATGTTCAGTACATACAGGATGGTGGTCTTGATCTTTAAATTACTTGGTGGAAAGCGGTATGTTGTGATAATAAGTTAATAACTTACTGACACAAACCTATTTGAACATCTCTATGGAGTTAGCAGAATTTATTTTGATTATTTGGAGGCTGCAAACCAGTTGTGTCATTTTAAATATACTTAATGAAATAGCTAACCTAAGAATTGTCTTGGAGGAGAAATCTTTCCTTGGCGGGTTGATTCAATCTTTGTAATTGAACATGCTTGTGGCCTTGACATTCCCACGATAGCTTATTATATCTATGGATGACATTCGTACTGCTAACTATCACTTGGGCATTCATGCCATCCCTGTCTTAGCTACTAAATATTGCATAACATTTAGTGCGATGCCAGTGCATGATTTATCTGAATATTTTCATTTGAGGCTTCCTTGAGGAGTAACTCATGCTACTAGTTATTATTTTAAGTGGTTCATTGACGCAGTTATTCAAGTTTTTGTATTTAAAAATTCATGACACTTTTCCTTTTGCCCCCCCTCTCACCTGCAATAATTCAAAGATGGTGGCTGGAAAGCAGTTGGAAGCATTCTCCATTCAGCTTGTTATTCTTGCAATATGGAAGCAAGCACTACACATATGTCATGCACAGGCTGCCTCTGCCATGGAAGGGAGTCCAAGTCAAGAAACCACTAGATGTAGGAGGAGCACCGACATGAAGCATGGCAGTTCCGATTCAGAAGAATGCCTTGATGGAAATGTGCTAGGACCAAAGGATATTCTATCTCAAATTGAAAGTGAATTTCTAAGGGAATTTGAGCATGCTGAAGAACTTGCTAAGGCTGTTCAGCCTGGTATGATTTTGATATTTGATTCATCAACTAAATGTCTAGGTTTCCTGTGCTTCACGTTTTTGATGTAGCTATTGTTGGCGTAATTTTCTATGCTTACTATGTAAAAAAATGTGTGATGAATTTGACTAATTAAATTAAACTGTAGGATCCTGAGAGCAATGTGGTACTGGCTTGGCCGTGATATTGTGTATTTGGACTTTCTATAAATGAAATCTCTTGAATATAATCTACAGAACAATGATCACACGGAAGTCTTTTTGGCTCAAGTGCAAATAAAGCACGAGGGAGCAGCCTACCATGCATTGTGCTGGAAGGATGGAAATCTTAGTCTTGGTCATAAAGGTTTTAATACGAGGTCGAGAAAGACTTCAACATGAAAAATGTTAAGTGAAAATATATGAATGGTTTTATCATAATCTCTTAATGGTCAATCATATGAGCTACTGATTACAATGAAATAATTTGTAAAATGCTACGATTTGTGCCAGTGTTTCACTCTGCTCAAGAGACAGGGAGAGTGGTAACTCTTGTAGCTCCTCTGTATATTGTGAGGACGTAAAATACTGATGCATTGGTTCTTGATTGCAGGAAATACAGAGATGCCAGATGCAATGGAGACGATATTTCAGTCTGCCCTTGCTTTTGGGAGACATGGGGGTGTAAGTATTTCCTTCCAGTTCTCATATCTTGCATTTTTCACCTGCTTTTGTTGCACTCTTCCCGTAACATGTGGCTTTAGATGCGCTATGTCAGTTGGCATGCAAGATTACAATTCTGTGCTTTATTTTGCCTTGTAATCGCTAGGTGGCACTTGGATGACTCCTTACATAAGTGAATACATGAACATAACTGAGGCTTTTGACCTCATGTACTGTTGGCAGGTAGAAGAGCTCATGGGTGAAATGGATAATGCAGCTGCACTATATTCAAAAGCTGTGCTGCTACTGATGTTCCTTCTAGTGGAAGCTCCATCCCTTATTCTTAATCCTCCATTTTCACTGACTAACACGGATCGATACAGGCTTCGGACTTACATCGATGATCTAAACAACAGGCAAGGCTATTCCAGGTCTCAGAGAATGACGCTGTTGAAATGTGACGAAGCACAAGGCGGCCTAAAGAACAAGTTTTAACTATGGTTCTTTCATTTTATCTCATTTTAGATCAACATTATTTATTTGTACAGTTATTCTTTGAGGGAGGAATGTTGGGGAATGCTGATGATGGGAGCCACCACCTCAAGCTAGGTTATTGTAAAGTCTGCATTTCTGTGATTAGAATGATGATCAAGTGTACATTTGTTTTTATATGATTTCTTCTGATTTTCGTACCTGAAACTTGTGAGGAAGTGCTGATGTTTGAATTTGCTTAGTCTTAGCCAATCAAAGAACGTAACTTACAATATGTAAAGATTATGTATGCGCATTAAGTTTGAAAAAAAGTACTCTTTCAGTCTTTAATATATGACCTAATTGTTAAGTTAATTTTGATTCTAAATATAAGAGCTATTTTTCATATTTATCAGTTTTTCTAAATTACCTTTATGGATATTTCTTCAACCATAATCAAATAGGTGAGGGAGAAGGGATATTGAGAAAGATGATTATGGTATTTTAGGAAAAACGTGTCATATTTCTTATAATTAACTAATTTGTTTAATTTTTTTAATCTAATCAAATTAATTAAATTGGTTTTATATTAAGGATCGGAACAATAGTATTTTGAGGTGAACATATGATTTAGAGGTTTAATTGGTCATATCTTAAGAAAAAGGTTGGTAGCCTAGCATAAAGAACGGTATAACACTGTAACCAGTTTTTGATTTAAGATTTATTTAATTAATTTAATTATATTAAGGAAGTTAAATGAGTTAGTTAATAATAAGAAACATGATATGTTTTTCTTAAGATGATATAATCATCTTTTTTAATATCATCTCTCCTCTTCTTACTTGATTTTAGTTGAATGAGTATTAATAGGGATAATTTAGAAAAAAAATTGATAAATATGAGAAATAAACCTTACATTTAGGACTAAGATCAACTCAATAATTAAATTCTACATTAAAAATCAGAGGAATGTAAAATAAATACGGTTGTGGAATCCCAAAAAACACTTTAAAAAAGTGCTTTGGCATAAGTTGAGAGAAAATTTTCTTAAAAATATATTTCAAAATGTGTAAAAATCACTTTTTAAGAAGTTAATTTAAACACCTTCTGACAATCTTGGGATAAAAAGGTTTAATGTTGTTATCAAGATGGCAAATTAAAGCTGATAAAAGGGTTTGATGTTGTTATCACTTATCAAGATGACAAATTAAAGTTAGATATTCTCCCTTAAGTATGGTCTAGTCTATTTCTATGATTCATTTAAAGGGTGTTTGATAAAAGGCTGATAAAATAATTAGGATTAAGATCAACTTAATAATTAGGTTATGTATTAAATACTAAAGGAGTATAAAATAAATACGGTTGTGAAACCTCAAAAAGCATTTTAAAAAAAATACTTTTATGTAAGTTGAGACAAAATTTCTTTTACAAATTTGCCTCAAAATACATAAAATCACTTTTGAAAAGTTAATTTAAACACGTAAGGACAATCTTGGGATAAAAAAGTTTAATATTGTTATTAAGATGGCAAATTAAAGTTGATAAAGTGTTTGATGTTGTTATCGAGATGGTAAATTAAAGTTAGATATTCTCCCTTAACTATGGTAAGTATGGTCTAAGATCCATTTAAAGGATGTTTGGAATTTTAACTAGGGAAAATGACAATTAGGTCCCAGTCAAAGGAATTAAATACAAAAAAGTCCCTTGAAATCATGAAATTATTTTAAAGTCCCAAAATTTTTTTGCATTAAATTTATTTGTTTACTTACCAAATTACCCTTCTTTTTGTTTTTTAAGTTTGCATTGACAACTGAAAGAGCAGTGGTTGACAACTCAGGGTGCAAGGATTGACAACTATCGCGGCTTGTTGTCAAACCAGCCGCGATAGTTGTCAATCCTTGCACCCTGAGTTGTCAACCACTGCTCTTTCAGTTGTCAATCCAAGTTATAAAAAAAAGAAGGGTAATTTGGTAATTAAACAAATAAAATTTATTGCAAAAAGGTCCCTTGGGATTGCAGAATAATTTCATGATTTCAAGGGACCTTTTTGCATTTAATTCCCTTGAGTGGGACCTAATTGCAATTCTCCCTTTTAACTAACTCTTTATGACTAATTTTATTATCTACTTGTCACACTGCTACATCGTCTTTCTGCTTATTTATTTACTTATTTTTATACGATGTCACTTATAAATTTTAGAAAGTTAATTGTAAATGGATATTCAAAAAGATGAGATGGTCTCTAAATTAGAGATATGCACCTAAGACGAGTTATAGATTTACAATGTGTGATGAGCATAAGTTCAAGGAAAGAACCCAATCTCAAAAGACTAGCCTATTGGGAAGGAAAGCCCCTTGAATTTATAAACTTACAACATTTGTGAGATTTCCCGATGTGGGACTCATAGCTCTTTTTGATTGGCCAACTCTCAATGAAAGCACGAATATGATAAATATAAGCCCAAAGAGAGAGTCCAATAACCTATTGGGAGGGAGAGCTTCTTGAACTTATAAACCCTACAACACTTATGAGATTCCCCAATGTAAGACTCATAACACAATGCAAGTGATTGTCCTTAAATCTATGAGCCTCGATGCATATATTTACAAGAGATTATCTATTTACTTTCAATTAAATTCACAAATAATCTTCCTTAAGCTCATAACTGATTGTCCTTAAATTATAAGTAATGATACATAAGTTTACAAAACCATTGATCAATCTACAACTGACTTTCCATAAATTCGTAAGTAATCTTTTCAAATTCACAATTTGATTACCCTTAAATTGACAAGTGACAATACACAAATTTATGAGATTATCTATTCTTTCCCGGTTGACTTTTCATAAATTCACCTGTGTGTTTATCCTTCACTTTTCTTTCCTCCCAATTTTCCATCTCCTGGATTTTCTGTTTCAGGCAAGTTAGGATAAAGTTTTTTTAATAAAAAAATTAGGAAAACTGACAGCAAAATACCATGTGAATTTCAAAAAGACAAATAAAGCACCTAAATAAGCAAAATGACAAATAGGGCACTGGGTACCAATCTGGAATTCAGATTTTTGGCCAAAAGACGGAATTGCCCTGTCTGAAAGTGAGAGAAAGCAAACAAAGGAAGACGATGAAACACGGGAAGAAGGAAAGAAGAATGTTGGAAATACTATTATCTTACTCATCCGCATCACTATTCTGTAAACATTGTTGATTTGGTGGGTTTTGGTTGTGGGAAAGAGGATTTGTAGTAAGAGAGGGAGTGAACCGGTAGGAATACGTGAGTGAGTAGAAGTTGATGGCGGGATTTGGATTATTCATTTTTGTGGCTGCTTCATGGTGAAATAGGAACAGGATTATTATATTTGAGGGTTTATATTCAGTATTTGGTGAATGATGAAGCAGAAATTAGAAAATAGTCGTAAGCAATTACGTAATGTAATTGCTGTCATATACCTGCTGGTTTTTGGTAAATCCCATTACGTGAATGATATATTTTATTATACATGTAGTTAATTATGAAAGTTAATACATTGCCCTGTCTGAAAGAACTTGTACTCCCTGAGATTGTCGCCGTCGAAGAGGTCGCTGAAGTAACATCAACTGTAATAAACAAGTAGGAAGCTTAAATATTATTCTTCATAGAGCATTTTCGATGGGTCCCCACAGCTTAAAATGTTATTGCCTAGCATTCCTCTTTTTGGTTCTGTCTCTGTTCTTCGCATAAAACCATTTTCAGAGAATGTGAAGCTGTCTGGTTTTCTAGTATCATTAAACCATTTGTCCTGAATTTTACAAAACACATATTGTGATTTACAACTTTCGTAGTGAAAGTGACCACTTTGTTAATGGGTTTTGTAACCTGTTTTCAGGAGATAAACAACTTGTTTGTAAAAACTAATAAAATTCCACACTAAATTTGACAAAACATATAGTGGGATTTACAACTTCCGTAGTGAAAATGACCACTTATTTAGGGGATGGTTAACTTGTTTCTAAAAACTAATAAAATTTCATGCTAAATTTGACAAAACACATAGTGAGATTTACAATTTTCGTAGTGAAAATAATCACTTCTTTAATGGGTTTTGCAACATGTTTTCAAGGGATTGTCAACTTGTTTCTAAAAACCAATAAAATTCCATGCTGAATTTTACAAAACATATAGTGAGATTTACAACTTTTGTAGTGAAAATGACCACTTCTTAAATGGGTTTTGCAACCTCTTTTCAGGGGATGAGCAACTTGTTTCTAAAAATCAATAAAATTTTATGCTGAATTTTACAAAACACACAGTGAGATTTACAACTTTTATAGTGAAAATGACCACTTCTTAAATGGCTTTTGCAACTTGTTTTCAGGGGATGGGCAACTTGTTTCTAAAAACTGATAAAATTTCACATTAAATTTTACAAAACATATACTGGGATTTACAACTTTTGTAATAAAAGTGACCACTTTGTTAATAGGTTTTGCAACATATTTTTGGGGGATGAGTAACTTACTTTTCACCACCAATAAAATTTCACGCTGAATTTTACAAAACACATAATGTGATTTATAACTTTTATAGTGAGAGTGACTACTTTTTCAATGGGTTTTGTAAACCTGTTTTCATCGGAAGGGTAACTTGTAAGCATAAATAAATCATTCAGTGAACGTGCACCTGAAGTACATCACAATAAACATTGAACTATTAACTTTCATAATTAATTACATGTATAATAAAATCTACCATTCACGTAATGAGATTTATCAAAAACCAGCAAGCATATGACAACAGTTACATTACGTAATTGCTTGCGACTATTTTCTGATTTTTGCTTCATCATTCACCAAATACTGAATATAAACCCTCAAATGCAATAATCCTGTTCCTATTTCACCATGAAGCAGCCACAAAAATGAATAATCCAAATCCCGCCATCAACTTCTACTCACTCATGTATTCTTACAGGTTCACTCCTTCTCTTACTACAAATCCTCTTTCCCACAACCAAAACCCACCAAATCAACAATGTCTAAAGAATAGTGATGCGGAGGAGTAAGATAATAGCATTTCCAACATTCTTCTTTCCTTCTTCCTGTGTTTCATTGTCTTCCTTTGTTTGCTTTCTCTCACTTTCAGACAGAGCAATTCGGTCATTAGGCCAAAAATTTAAAATTCAAATTGGTACCCAGTGCCCTATTTGTCATTTTGCTTATTCAAGTATCTTATTTGTCTTTTTAAAATTCATACAGTATTTTACTGTTATTTTTTCAAAAAAATTATATGAAAAAAAGGAACACCTTGAACGTTAAAAAAGTAGGAAAATATGAGTGCATAGAAAGGGAGCGTGGAGTTGGAGACGGATCGTACTTTTTGGCCTTTTGCTCTTCAAAAGATGCTTAATTTTAGGATTTTCAAGTCCACGTGCTATAAAACAAACCATGGTAGATTCTATTTTTCTTGCTTTTGGGCACTATTCCATATTCGATTAGGGGAACCAATAATGCAGATATGTTTAATACCCTGAACATAACTAAGTAGTAATATTAGACTCAAAAATCCATTTAGAAAGTCTCTTACCCAATAATACCCCCTGATTCCTCCCTGATGCGGGGTTTACTTTACATACACAGCCCGCTGCCACAACCGAGCTTATTCACTCTTTTATTGGTCGTCTCCGCGGTCACCATCGTTGCTCCGCCGCGTCTGCCCACCATCTTCATTCTCGTTCTGCTTACATCCTTGCCATTACTATAGGATCAGTAACTTGAAAGCTCTCAGCTTTTTCCTTAGCCCATACAAAGGTAGATTCCGAATGTTTTACTGCGTCTTTTCATTTTTTGAACTATTTTCCTTCCTCATTCCCTTAAACTTAAATCTTATAGCTTAAAGTTAAAGACTACATTGCTAGAAAATGGTAGCTACCTGTAAACAATTCTAGAAACATGCATTTGCTTGGTTGGGTATTGTGTCCTAAGCTGGTTTGGCGTATTGTTTGTTTTGATTTTTTTTTTTTTTTTATATGATAGCTTGCAGTTTCTGGGGCGTCCTACTTCCTCGCGTATCATTTCCATCTCTATAGGATCAGCTTTGTAGCCCTCAGCATTGTTCTCAGTCCCAACAAAAGCATATAGGGAATCTCTTTCTGCCCTTTTCATTTTCTGGGGCATCTTCCTCTCTAAATTTTGGCCGTTGCTGATTTTAGAAACATGACTAAAAGCATAAATTTATTTGATTGAATGCTATGCCTTCATGTTGATTTGATTGTCATGTCTTGTTTGTTTTTTGCTGGTCAGTTAGCTCACAGCTGATAGTTTCCTGAGGTTGGTTAGCCGGAAACTGCAAATTTGTCCATTTATCTGAGTGGTTCTGTTGTTAGAGAGTTAGAAGAAAATGATGGGTTGCTGCTCAAATTTTGGTGTGTCGCACGTTGTTAATGTGAGTAAAGAAGCTGTTTTGAGGAGGCTAGGAAATCAAAGCTTATGCTCAAATAACTTGAGTTTCAGTAATGTGTTAAAACGTGCCACTTTTCCTATCTTTTGTGTAAATGAGTGCCGTGGTAATGTCTCTCTACAAAAGACAGAAAGAATTGTGATAATGTGTCTGTCACAGCAACCAGATGAGTCCCAATTCAACGTAACTACAATAAAAGTTTCAGAAGGGGGAGGTGAAAATGTCTTGGAAAATGGCCATAAATGTTGTGATAATGAGTCTGACTCCAAAACTGATGGATGTGAGAAAAATGGAGTCATGTTTGAAGGTGGTGGTGGTGATGGGAGCTTTGGAAGTGGTGGAGGAGGAGGCAGTGGTGGTGGTGGTGGTGATGATGAAGAAGAGGAGGAGTTTGGGCCGATATTGAAATATGATGAGGTAATGAGAGAGACAGAAGCGCGTGGGGCTACTCTTCCTTCAGATATGTTAGAGGCTGCTAAGAGTGTGGGAATTCGCAAGGTGCTTCTCCTTAGATATTTGGATCTGCAGGTATAGTTTCACTAAAGTCTATGCATTTATTTCTGTTTTCTTGCAATCTTGCTTCTTATCTGTAATGAATTACTGGTACCAACTCATGTGCATCGAGGTTACTATTACTTTTGCTTTTAGTATTGATACTTAATGCTGTTTAAATTGCAGGGATCTATCTGGCCTCTAGGTTTTGCTATGAAATCATTTTCTATGCTTCGAAATAGAATGCTGGCTGATCCATCTTTTCTATTTAAAATTTTTTCAGAGGTTGGTTGGGCTTCGCTTCATATAATATCGATTTGAATTGTTTATATTTGATGTCATAGTGTTAGAGCATCTTTGAGTCTGCCTGTTGTTTAATGGTGTCGTAAGATGTGGCATCATCTGATCACTATTGTCATTGATTATATATTAACTTGATTGGTAAGCTAGGACATAATTCATCACTTCTTAATGGAAAAAGTACACATTTAGTCCTTTAACTTTATATAAGATTTTAGTTTGATCCCTTAATTTTATAAAGTATCTTTTTGGTCTTCTAATCCTAAGTCCTAGCACCATTAGTCTCAAATGATGATTTTTTGTGCCAATCATTGTTATTTTAAAGAATTAAACTTAATATATCAATATTTGTGGATGTTTTGTCAACCTTTAAAATTTTAATGCCATTATTTTTTTTTTTTTTTTAATTAATGAAACTTACAGTGTTAAGGCCAGAGGACTGAAAAGACACTTTAGGAAATTAAAAGATCAAAATGAAACCTTGTGTGAAGTTAAATGACCATAGATGCACTTTTGCCCTTCCTGGTCATCTTCATTTATCCTGATTCCTACAATTTACGTTGGTGAAATAGTCCAGGAAGTTAACTAAATTTTTATATGCAGAAGTGATTAATACTTTCTATCACATGCTTAGGACTTTTTTTTTTTTTTGAACAAAGGTGAAATAATTATATTCCTCTCATTGAAATTACATCAAAAGGGGCATACACCTGTACAAAAAAGATGATCTAAAAGATATAACAGATCAATCTAAAAGATGTTAAATCTTATTTCTCCCTACTAACAAGTGTTTCCATTCAACTTTCATGTCATTTACAATTTGATGATATGTTTGAGCACTATCTGGTAGTTCCTGTCAAAAACCAAAGCATTTCTGGCTTGCCAAGTAGCATAGATCACAGCATAGAATATAGCCATCCTCAGTCTAAATACCAACCTATGCTTTTTCGTACTTTGTGAAACACAGATATTCTATGCGAGCCAATATCAAAATCAATATATGCTTATAATTTTTGTTTGCACATCTTCATTGGTTTTTTGCAATTGCCATTCCATATCAAGTTAACAGTGTTCTTGTAATCTTGGTTGTTGATAGTTTGAAGGAAAATTAAAATTATGGCTATGAATTTTCTCTTCAATGTATACAGATAGTCATTGATTCTACTTGTGCAACTGTTGCTGAAGTTCAAAAGAGAGGCAAAGATTTTTGGTCCGAATTTGAGCTGTATGTTGCAGATCTTCTGGTTGGGACAGTCGTTAATGTTGCTTTGGTAGGTATGTTGGCTCCCTATGCTCGAATTGGGAGACCATCAATATCCAAGGGACTGCTTGGAAGAATGCAACAAGCTTATGCATCTTTGCCTAGCAGGTTTTTTTAATCATGTCATGAAATTGGCCTAATTTTTCACATGAATTTGTTTTAATAAATGTTTCTTCCGTGTATTGATATATCAAAATTGGCTATATGAAAGACATGGAAGTCAAGCTTCTTGTGTCCCAAACGCTTACTTCAGAGCACGAAGATGACTCTAAGTTTCTCTATTCTGCTAATTTTGTGCAGTGTGTTTGAAGCAGAAAGGCCAGGATGTAAATTTTCTGTACAACAGAGAATTGGAACATACTTCTTCAAGGTATGGACTTGTGAGGTCATCTCGCAGACTGAACAAATTATGAGGGGTTTTGAATTATTTATGCATAATGATATTTCAGGGCATAATGTACGGAGCTGTTGGATTTGGATGTGGTATTATAGGTCAAGGCATCGCAAATTTGATCATGACTGCTAAGCGGTATTATTTCTTATTTCCAGTTCATTCCATAGTATCTTTCCCTATCAGCATTGGTTCTATTTATTTGGGGAGTACTTCAAGGGCTAAAATCCTAAAAGCACAAGAGGAGCCTGCCCTTAAAATTGTGTGAATGGAGTTGATGTCGACAAAGTCCTGGGACTTCCCTAATTGTACCAACGAAAAAGAAATATTTATTTAGATATGGATGCTTTAGCCTAGGGAACTTCTAATATATGGCAACTTTAATTAAGGGGGAAAAATGACTGAAAAGCTAGAAAAACTTGGCTGACAGTAAATTTCCACCAGCAGCATCTTTGTATATCTGTCATTTATTTGGAAGTATTTCTTTCTTCTAATAAAATGATACATATGAATAGTGTTCATCATGAAAAAATAATTAAGCTGTGGGCTGTAGTGTGTGAGTCTTCAGCTTCTGGATATCATGATTGCTCATAATGTTTCTTCTGTATACCAGGAGCATAAGGAAATCTGAAGGGGACATACCTGTGCCACCTCTTGTGAAAAGCGCAGCTCTTTGGGGTATGGAATACTTTGTCGGAATTAATTTGCTATTTTCTTGATGTTCAAATTCAATTCTGTTATATGTACCTAGAATGTCCTGGTTCAGTATGTAGATTAGTGTATTAGTGTATGAAGTATTAAATGGTAATTCATAGAAACTAGATGCTAAAAGGTCACTTGGTATTCCTATACATATCCATTATAAGGTAACTGAAAGCAAATCAGGAAAGGTTATGAAGAGAAAATTTAAAAAAGTGAGTTCGAAGAAATTCCTTTTACAGTGCACTCATGCTGTCAAACAATGTCAAATGTGTTGAAGCTCATATCTTCTATACAATTAGAAAACAACCTTTGTTTCTTTGCGCTATTAGGGAAAGTGCTCTTCTATTAGTTTCTTTGGTGGATATTAGAAGGATTTTCCACATGCTTTCTTGAGTCATCTGACATTTCTGCCTGTGCAATCAATTTTCTATCTTTGGTTGTTTTGTCCTGTACCTGTTTAAAATAATCATTTACAGCCTTTCAACACTATTTTGGAGTGAATCAAATTGGAAAAGACTCCGCATGATACTGTCTGTTAACTGTCAGTTGCTGTGGTGGTATGAAGAAAGATACACTGATACCAAGTAATTAATCTCACTTATATACACATTATTTATAACCTTCTACCTAATTTAACTAACTATAGTTCACACTTCCCTTAAAGTTGGGATCATACAGGTCCATGACTCCCAACTCGGACAATACAACATGATGTTGTAACCTTCCTAAAGCTTTTGTCAACATGTCTGCCAGCTAATCTTTAGTTCTGACATGACTGGTTCTGATCTCTGCGCCTCTCTTATAAATTGGCAATCCATTCTATGCGTTCTGTTCTCCCATGGAACACAGGACTAATTAGCAGCCTTGCTGCCACAGAATAAATCCACTGGTTCCAAATTTTTAATACCCAAACTCCAAGTAAACCAAGCAACCATATTATCTCAGCAGCAGCCAAACTCAATGATGAGTTCTTAGCCTCAGCAAGAGACCTTGAAATTGTGGTCAGGTTATCTGTTTCTTTGACTTCCAAGCGATCAAGGAATCCCCTAACTTGGCTAAACATCCACTCATTGATCTTCTAGTGGTTGCTCATGATGCCTAGTTGGAATCACAAAAGCACTGTAGGTTTAATGTGCTTGATGAAGACATGAGCAAATCCAAGCCAGGACTTTTTTTCAGATATCTTACGACCCTTGATGCAGCTTCCATTTGAGATTGCTTTGCTGAATTCACAGATTGAATCAAAGCCCTTTGCGCCAACCCAAACGAAAAAACCTCTAAAGTCTGAACTGGAAAGCTAATATATGGCCTAGTCATTGTTAAGTACAGAAGCTTCCCTATCAATATTCTATACTGCTCTTTCTCTTCAGCTGCAATAAAGAAGCTCCTTCATCTTTATCTTTTGCTGTGGATTAAACATTTGGATTCAATGGCACTTCTCAGTTGATCCATCAGCTCTATACTTCACTTTGTAGACACATTTGCTTCTGATGAGAATCTTGCCTGCTGGTAATGTCGCTGTGTCTGATGTATGATCAGATTCTAATGCTGCTATCTCAGCTTTGATGACTTCAATCGACTCAGAATGTGTTGCTGCTTCTTTGAAGGACTTAGGTTGAGGTACTGGGTTTATAGCTGACAAAAAACATAGATGGGATTGAGAAATATCTCAAATAAGATACATAATTACTGAGAGGATACGAATTATGATGCTTTGCACCCATAGACGACTCAGCCTGATTGATAATAGGCTCAATACAGTCTTGTTCCATACTGATGGTCTATGCTGCCTAGTAGGTCAAATCTTAACAACCGAAGGAATAGTAGATGAATCAGCAAGTGAAGGAAAGTCCTCTAATGAGTCATGACTTTCCCTTTTCTTCAACAAGTGTTGACGCTTCCTTTCAATCATTCCATTCTGCTGTGGTGTATGAGGACAAGTACTCTCATGAATATTACCCTTCGAGCTAGAAGCTCCATGAATTCATGAGAAAAGAACTCTGCCCCATTGTCGGTTCTCACCTTCTGCACCAGCTTCTGGAATTGAGTGCCAACAGAGGTGAGAAAGTGTTTAAGATGGCTGATTGTCTCGCTCTTGTATCATAAGAAATACCCACAGCCTGAGAACGATCATCTACAATGGACAAAGATAGCTATGGCCAGCATGTGTTTGAGCCACTGATGACGCGGAATCACTATGGGAAAATATCCATATGGAGATGTTGAAAAGGCCATGATGTTGTGGAACCACTGTGGGAAAATGGAAGATGTTTATGCTTAGATTGAGGCAGATAGCACCAGAAGATGAAAAAATGCGCATAACATTTTGTTTCTGGAATATGAAATCATATTGATTCGTATCAGTGTACAAGTTGACTACTCAAGCTATCTAACTTTCCCTCCTTGGTGCAGTCGGGCTGAATCTGCAAACTGGACTGCAACACGTATAAGCCTAACTTTCTTTACCTATCCCCTTTATCTTACCATTCCAGATGTCCTGAGAAGCACAAAAGCAAAAAATTGAATACAACAATACAATGATTTTCTCGAGTTGACTTGCCAGTGGACAAGATTAAACTGTTACTGGAACATATAAAGCATTATGAAGCCTGAGATTCTCTGTAACTTGCATGCTTTCCTTATGAGTCACCTTCACTACATGCCCATATGGTAATTTGATTGAGCTATGACAACTAATTAGCGAATGTTAATCAAAACTCTCAAAAATCTGATATCATATAATTAGTTATTCAGCCAGCCCCGAGTGTGGGGTTAGCTGTCATAATTCAAGCACCCATGGTCAAAAACTTTTGAGATCCAACTTCCGTTAAATGGTTTTTCAGCCATGAGGCATGCATCTCGAGAATTTCTACTCATGCATAATTTGATGTTTTCAGGATTGCTGTTATATCTATTGAACATAACCTGGTCATGCTTAGAAAGGAATCTGAAGCTTTATTTTTTTTCCTGCCTGAACTTGTAGGCGTATTTCTTGGTGTTTCTTCGAATGCCAGATATCAGATTGTAAATGGCCTGGAGCGTGTAGTAGAGGCAACTCCAATTGCGAAGAAGGTTCCCCCCGTTGCTTTGGCATTCACTGTTGGGGTGAGATTTGCCAACAATGTCTATGGTGGCATGCAGTTTGTTGACTGGGCAAGGTGGAGTGGGGTCCAATAGTTGTATTATTATCATCCTGTTCTCCAGAATTTCAGATGTACCATTTTTAACCATTAGATTTGAATTGGTGAGAGTTCACAAGCATATCTGAACTGGAAGACATCAATAAAGCTACGATCTCTGTGGGTGTTAGTGGGGTGCAGTAGTTGTATAATTATCATCTTGTTCTCCAGAACTTCAGATATACCATTTTTAACCATTAGATTTGAATTGGTGAGAGTTCGCAAGCATATCTGAACTGGAAAACATCAATAAAGCTACAATCTCTGCGGGTGTTCTTCACACACATGGATGGATTCTCTTGTACTCCTTTCACCATGGATCCGTTAATAAATCTTCTAGCCGTTTTTCTTTGGGCCGATAATAATCTTGAAGCTAACGAGAAAGTTTTTAGATAAAAGATTGGTATTATAAGTAATACAAATGAAGTATAAAATGTGTCAACTAATATTAATCTAATTGATAAGGTTGTCACCCATGCCCAATAAAAATGTGGGTACAAATCCTGTTGTTAAATAAAAGTTTATTGTGTGACTTTTGATTTTGATGCCTTTTTGTTCCTTTTACTAGTTTTCTCCTGATTTGACGTATATACTTTGCCATTAATACATCTCTTTTCATTCCCAAAAAAAAAAAGGTTTATTGTGATGGTCTTTTTGATATTTCACTCAATATATCTATGCATAATAAAACATACAAATTCATACTATATATAAGTCAGTCATATTGCAATTGACTTGAAATACTTTGCAAAGCACTGGATTTACGTTCTAGTTACTCGGAACAAGTATCAAAACTATTTACTCTAAATAAAAATTTAATCGTAAAATACACCAGCACCTCCTCTTTTTCATCTGAATTACACAATTTTTTCTTCTATTTTTAAAATTTATATAAACCTTCCCTAAAATCAAAAGTTACATAATATATGCCTTTTCCTGCATATTTGAGAATCTATTTCCACTCACTCCATTATTATCCGCGAGTTAATCAACATTTTTTGGACCAAAATATCCTTTAGTAACATGAATGTTATTTTAAAATCTTGTTACAAAAATAATTTTAAAACTTTTTTGTCACATTTTCAAATTAGTAATCCCTCCATTCTTTTTTTTTTTTTATAAGAGATTATTAACCGAATCATATTGATAAAAAGTTTAAATTAGTTAGAGAAAATAAACATGTAAAAATTAAAAAATGTAGCCTGTTTTTTTTTCTTTCTAGATATCCTTATTAATGGGAGAGGGTATAAGAGAGAACTATCATATGAATGATTTATCTTGATAATAAATGCAATGATATTAATATGATTAATTAAATGGGGGCAAAATAGGAAATTAAAAAAAATTGAAGAAGTGTCTCATAGGGAGGGAGTGGAATTTATCTTATAAGAATTTCCCCTCCATCTGTAGCCGGTGGACAGATCTGTGGACGTTTATTTGGTGATGGCGAAGATCTCTCTACGTGGAATGTGCTGCTGCTATAGCGAAATTATCCTCTGCCACAAGCGAATGTGCCCTCGTTTGGCCCATGGCATGCAACTGTGAACTAGTAAAATAGTCGTCAAGGACTTAAGCCGTTGAAGACCACAAGAACTGGACTTAATACTACCTCTAGTCCTAATTATAAGACCCAGTTGACTAATTTGAAGAGATTAAAGAAAGAAGTTAAGTTAGTTATTTGTAATAAATAGGTGTTGTCTTTTCTAAAATATCCTTACTAATCAACTATATTGGCTAAGACTACAATTATTAGAAGGACTATTTTGGAAAAAAAAATGTATAAATATGAAAGACAAAATGGATTGGGGTCTTATATTAGGATCAAAATAAAAATCAAACAGGATGTTATATTAAGAACGGAAGGTAGTAGTTCTTAGTCCCATGTTTCAGATTTTTTATTCTAGTTACTAGAATACTGTTCACACTTCATCCATATCTCAATATTATCATGGGATGATATTTGATATATCAATTTGATTTGGATTTTGGTTCTTAGCAGTTAGTGTCCTTCCCAAAAGAATTGATTCGTACTGTTATGATGAGCTAATATTCCACTTTATAAATCAAGCTAATTTAATCTTGGTGAGTTTTTCTGAGGTTCGGACTTGGAAGGAAATAATTGCACCCAGAAAAGATATTTTTGTTACAACTGTCTGGACTGCGACATCTCTTAATATGGACTGAGTTTCATTTTCCATGTGGAAAGGGAAAAACAGAGACTTTCGAGACCGAAACAAAAGAGATAAGAAAGAGTGCAAAGTGAATGGAAAAAGATCCGTTTGGTTCTCAAAACCTCTACCACCAAAACCTTTGCTTACGCAAGAACAACGCGCTTCAAGTTTTCAGTTTATGGGTCATATATAAGATGTAGATATTAGCCAATTGAGCATATATGCCTTTAAAGTGCTTGGGATATTGCCACAGTGAACTGGCCTCGTTGCTCCTGAAGATGTTGGAGGGAAAAGCTGTGGTGCGTGACACAGACATGCCAGGGGTGGTTCAGAACCATGTTATGGAGTTGGCTTACCAAGCTCTCGATGCTCATGAGGTCAACGATTGCCAATCCATTGCCTATTATATCAAACAGGTCTGTTATTAAATATTTTCTATCAAATGTTATGAATTGTGTTAATTGGCTGGTGCTTCTAATCGCAAATAGCGATGCTGGATCAAAAACAGGAAGAATCTTGAACACTGCAATTTATATTTTTCTATATTCTTTCTTATTTTTTAAAAATGCATTTTGGGAGAAGCGAAATATCTGGTTGTCAATCTATCGCTTATTTCACCAAACAGATCTGTTCTTCCATCCCATCAATTAAATGTCTTCCTCTTCATAACTCACAAACTAGCCCGTGTTAGAAGAGAAAAAAGCTGCCGAAATTTGTTGAGTACCATCCATATCTAGTCTGTCACATTCATGCTATATAAAAAATTATTCATTCTTTTATTGAAGAATGACTTAATTAAATAGTTCCCACTCTAATATAATGGATTAAACGTGTTTAACTTCAAGCAGCATCTTGAATCAAAATCTGTCCCTCTTATCTAGGACTGCTGTACTTGTGCCTATGATTTAGTTTATATGCAAAACTTGGCATGTTAGCTAAACTTGGAAACCTCGTGCTTTATGGTGTGCTGGTTCCTCTTACCTTTACATGTTGGAAAAGATCTCAGAATACTAACACTTGTTGGACAGAAACTTGATGAAGCATATGGACCTGCTTGGAATTCAGTAGTTGGAAAAGACTTCGGTTCTTGCATTACACATTTATGTGGTAGTTTCATATTCTTCCGTGTGGAGATGATGGAGTTTCTGATCTTCAAGGATGGAAAGGACTTCAGTGAAAGCAGAGAAGAAGCTGTTTGGGTGCAGCACAAATCTAAAAATTGATTGTTAAATCATTAAAGTCAATAAGGCATATCACACCATCACACTAAGGTCATCAGGTCAATTATCCCTAATTTGCCTTTTCATGAACAGATTTATTCTTTTGAGGAAGATTACATAAAAGGTAGCAGACAAGGTTTTCAGCAACATCGATGGTGTGCGCTGCAGCTATTTTCTGGTAGCTATATAGAACATCTATCCATTATTCCTGTGTCCACATATGTTCTGAGCACTAAAAATATATAAGTGCAAACAGGAGTACAACATCTTGTCTAATGCTCTTAACAACATTGTATTGCCAGTACCAATCTTGAGAAAATACCGTTGTTAAATGTCATTCTGTTGTTAATGGAAGTTTAGAGCGGGTTATTTATGGAATAATCCGATAAAATGTCAAGAAACTGTAATAAAACTCAAGAAGCATATATTTGGTAGGGATGACAAATTAAAAGGACAGTTGCTGAAAATTTTTATTATTTCTCCCGTCTTGCAATTTTTGGACCAGTGCACCTTTTTTCTGCCACTATAGACCGGCTTAATGTTTTGATTCCTGTTTACTAGAAAACCTTCAAGGTCATGGTCTTCTGAAAAGCTACCATGTTTTTTGTGACCACAGAACAGGCAGGTCAAAATTGAAATTAAATATATAAGAGAAATATTAGCAATAAATATCCAAAAAAAAAAAAAAAACTGACAACTCACGCACCCTCCGTTGCCATACGTTGAAAGTTAATTTGTAGTCGTCAGTTTGAAAGAGATAATACAGCTATTATCAAGAAAGTTTAACATATTAGCCAACATCATAAGACCATTCAGACAATTACAAAACAATGTCAAATTGGCAATCTGATGATGATATGAAAGCTAGGTATACATCGAAGATGGTTCAAACTGAAATACATAAATGTAAGATAGCCGCAAAAAGCTTAAACAGTTACTTTTCTAATCAGATTTCTTTCGGTTTATAGACATGGGAGGCTTTATACTCTTGGTTTTTCTTCTTTTGTTGCTCCATCAAGAAGACAAGCAACTAGAGTACTATATGGTGCATATCGCATCATCTGACTGATTGCGGCATACTGATCCTTCAAATAGTGTTATCTTGTTTTGCTGAAGGTTGCTCTTAATTCTTGAAGTGGAATTCGTCTGAATAATATCAATGGAGCATACTGATATTGGCCATTTTTATCAGCTGGACCAGGTCATGACGAGACACCAACTCGAAATAAACCATCTCGTATCCTTTTTCTCGCACCATCATCATTTGGACTTGCAGTCATAAATAGCATCACCGTAAGTATAGCGTACAGGTTTGGGTCCACAGCCTTGAAGAGCAATAAGTCTGAGACCGGTCAAAAAGTACCACCGATGACCACACTGTCACTGTTTCCGTGGAAGGTTCCCATTGGGTCGCCCTCTCTATCCGCTTCCCTTTATAAGATCAATGGTGGGGTTGTTCCATACGAATTCGTCTGGGAAAATTTCTGTCCGAACTCATGGTTCAGGGACCCTTTCTCACGAGGAGATTGATTAGCCCAATATTGTTAAGAAAGTCTAAAATCCCAAATCATCTGGTGGCCTCGGGTTGCAGCTTCCTCTCATTGTTTGGTTCTCGGACATGCTGAAGAACCAGCTCGAGTCCCTTAACTCAGCGTTCGAGGATCCAAACTTCACAATTTGTTCCACAACTAAGCGGTCCTGGTTGCATTTTAACGGGTAAACGCCTTGATAATGGGATTCGTATCCCAGAGATTGGATTGCGTACTAGATCATGTGAAACCGAAACTAAGGTAAGAGTTATGCGCTTACCACACTGATAGGTTGTGTTTGTATTCCACATATATTGAATATTCACGGTAGGTAAGATGTGACACTTTAAGCTTAGCTCACAGTTGTTTTGGGTGGGGTTTATGTTGATGTGTCCGTGCTTCCTAAAATCTTATATTTTGTTGACAGTCAAGTGGTTTTTGTTGATGATTGATTGGGTTGCTGTTTTTGTTTGGGCACATTGCGGACATATGAAACAATCATATCAACGTCCCCCAGCTGTTGTGAAAACTTTCTTTCAGAATGATCAAGTCTTGAATGAAATAGCTCACTCATTAGTGACTCCCTCCTTGCTTATTTGGTTGAGGACGCAATCCAATCTCTGGGATGCCAATACCATTGTCAAGGTGTTTACCTCATGAAATGCAACCTTTGTGGAAGATATTCTGAAGTTTGGATCCTCCAACGTCGAGTTACGGACTCGAGCCGGTTCTTAAGCTTGTCCGGGAACCAAACAACGAGAGGAAGCTGCAAACCGAGGCCGCCAGATGAAAACTTTCTTAACAATCTTGAGCAAATCAATCTCCTGGTGAGAAAGGGTCCCTGAACCATGAGGCAGGACAGAAATATTCCCAGACGAATTCGGCGGTAGTGTAAGCAGAGACATACACACACACACACCACCAACCCAAACAGATGGCTATTTTTTGACCTCTACAGTCTCAGACTTGGAGGAGCTCTCGTCAGTTCTTTCTGGCGGCCACACATATTCCATTCACGGACAACAAAACAATGTCCAATTCTTTTCTTTTCTCCTCCCACCAACACGAACGTCATTCTTCTCCATCCATCCTTCCACATGGCGGTGGCTTGCTTGAAGGTGTTTGAAGAGAAGAATTCCATGGGAGCTTGAGCTAGCTTGAAGGCCACAAGGGAGTGCCTTTCCTTGTATCATTTTAAGTCAAGACTTGAAATTATTTTAATTTTAAACAATTTTGAGATGTACTGTTGGGATACAATCTAGTTTTAGGTTGTAGACGTTTTGTTTGTTGGATTATATTAATCTGTTGGTTTTCTTCAGTATTGAGTTTAGACTATGAAAAATACAATGGAATGTATCTAAAACTAGAATGCAATAGACTAAGTGCACTATGCAAATGACTCTAAAGCAAGACAAGATAACAGGTGTTTGATTCGGTTACGATGAAGGGGCCAATTTAAGATTCAAATGGAGTTAATTTTTCCTTACCCAAGTTCAGTTGATTAGATCAAATGGGCTGACGAAAGAATGGAATTAACATATTTAAATACTTGTAGCATGGAAAATCCTCAAGCAACAATAACACTTAATCGACTAAGAAACTCATAATGATGTGCTCATTAAAACCCATAATAATTTATTCAAATTAATTCTGAAAAATATTTTTAGAATTATCTTTATCTTTTGTTGCAGAAAAAAAAATGTATTTTTATAAAAAAATCCAGAAATATAATATATATATTATTCTTATGTTAGCATCGCATATCATCATTTTTATGGAAAATATAAAACTTACTATGGTTTCTAATTTTTCCATATGTTGCGTTTAACATCACTCATTATCCCCCCAACATTCGACTCGTTATGTTATTTTGGAGATTACTTCTTTTCCAATAACCTTAACCTGTGATTAAATATTTTTTTTTTTGGGATTGAATCAATATGTAATACTCCTCCGGTCCTTAATATAAGACCCATTTAACTAATTTGATTAGATTAAGGAAGGTAGGTAAGTTAGTTAATTATAAGAAATGTGACACATTTTCTCTAAAATACCATAATCATCTTTCTTAATACCCTATTTTCCTCTTCTACTTGATTATGGTTGAGGGAGTATTCATAGGGGTAATTTAGAGAAAATTGATAAATATGACAAATGGGTCTTATATTTAGGACCAAAACCAACTCAACAATTGGGTCTTATATTAAGGACCGGAGGAATACGATGGTTTGAACTTCTAATAAGAAGTCCCATGACGATGACTATATATATATATATTTGTATGTATGTATGTATGCATATATATTTTTGAATAAATATATGTATTTTTTTTTTTTTGCCAACTTGAATAAATATATGTATATATTTATGCTACGGTGTATAAAACCAAGATTGAGACATGCAAGCAAGGAGCCAGCGTCCCGTGGGGCAGCGCTCCTGGTGGTCGCCACCTAATTTTTGTCCTTTTGCGGTTTTGCCTTTGCGTATTGAATTGTATCATCAGAACCGTACGGGAAGAGTTGCCAACTTGCCGTCACTTGAATACCCGTCGTTCCCTTGCGCACATGAATTGCGGCTCTCCTCAAAGGGGCAAACCAATGAAACCATACCAATGATTTATGATTTTAGAATTTATACCTATTTTAAAATTTGGTATTTGATAGTCTTTTACTGAACTAATTTAATATTTAATTTAATTTTAAATATAAAATTTTAATCTATTTTATTTTTCATATCTATCTATTTTTTTCAAAATAATAGTCTTTTTAATAGTTATACATATTAAATATTCTATTAAATAGTAGTTTTAGCTAATATGTATATATGACTAACGTAGATATTTTAAAGAAAATAATAATTTATTATAAATAACTAACTTAATAAATTTTCTTAATTTGCTTAAATTAGTTAACTAATTTTTATATTAAAGGATGGAGGTAGTATTTGATATCTAGCACCGCCAAATTAGATTCAAGCAGTGCAAAGAGGTAGGTAGTTATAAATTATTGAGATTCGTTTGAAAAAGAAAATAATATAAAGGGAACTATATCTTTAGCCTCGCGAAAAAAATTATTATCCAAAAATAAAATTAGACTAAAATAAAATAGCGTAGCATTTATGTATGGTTTTCTATAAATGACATAAGTTAGTCAGTTGCTCAATAATATATTACTCAAAATCTCTGTGATTATGACTTTATAAATGGTGCATTCACAAAGCAAGCACATGGGCCGAACTTGAATGATGACGACTAGTGTGGTGTGGTGTTATGACTTTATAAATCCGAAAAATTGTGTGATGTCTCCATTATCTCTGAGCTTCATCTTCTGTCTTCTTGGCATCCATCGTTTCCCTTTATGTTAATCCCAACTCTGTTCGAACCAATTCATCCTATCAAGTTGTTTTCATTTCAAGTGTTTTCTTTCTTAGCCACTTGTGCAAGTTTTTAGCGCTCCAGGCTTTCAAGTTTCAACATGGTTATAATTCTCCAAGAGGTGCACTTTCTGGATTCAGATTACCAAGGCAAGGACCAACAATCTCTGAGAACCGCAGAGCTTTGGTTTCATCTTGGATAAAAAGAAGTGGTGCTGTGACAGGGCATGAGAACTTCAAGGTAATTAGATTTCAGTCAGTGGACGTGGGCCATTTCTGTGTCACATCATTTCTTGAGGCCCATAGAGACTGGGCCAACTTTATAATCATGGCAGGGCCGTGGCTGAAGCTTTTACCAATATAGACTTTGAACAACACTTGGCTCAGTGACATCCAGCATGATGAGACAAATGCGTCCGCAAATTTCTATTTCTCTCAGCGCACTCTCATCCGTGAGAGAGCTAGACAAGAGGAGCCTCATGATGCTAATCTCTACCGACCTGCTGCTCAACTCTCTGGTTTAGTGCTTCCCAATCCATTCAGATCTTCTCTGGGTTTCCAAGGAGTTTATCCCTAAAAACTCCGTTTACCTCCATGAAAATACTGTGAAACTACGACAGTTCAATGACTACAAAAATTTTATTGTAAATATTATCCTTACTTCTTGTTTCTTAGTGATAGTAAGATGTATGACAGTAAAACAACTAGGAAGGTTTATGGGTTTGCTTTTGATATTGTATATATTGTAAACCCGTTTGGTAGTGAGGGGGTTTTGTCTTGGGACTGAATAATCTTGTACTGTACTTGATCAAACCCCAAACTGGTTCCATTCTGTTGGTAGGTTCTATGATGGAAACTAATGAATACAATGTGACTTTTGTGTACGGCTTTCCTAATATTGCTGACAGATGTATTCCGTGGACTTGGCTTAGTAGTCTTGCTTCCTCTATTAATAAACCTTGGTTATAATTGGTAACCTTAATTACATTGCAGGTCCTATGCACAAATTAATTAACTGCTTCTTCTTGCACCTTGGGAGCTACCTCTTTTTGTATTATGATTGATCGTTGCTATTTAATTGATGTTTCTCCGGATGGAGGATGGTTTGCTTGGTCCAATAATAGAAAAGATAGCAATTTGGTTCTTGAGCATCTAGATAGGGCTCTTTGCAATAATCTTTGGTTTCAACAATGTCCTCAATCAGCCCTTCAAATTTTACCAATAGCTACTTCTAATCATTCTCCGATATCCTTAAGAAAGATATTATGGCCATGGTATTTCAGGTTTTCACGGAATCAGAATACATTCTTTAAAGGCAGATTTAAAATACCATCCTTGACGAAGTGTCAGATTTATGTGGAAGTTTCATATTGTTCCCTGTGGAGATGACGGAGTTTCTGATCTTCAAGGATGGGAAGGACTTCAGTGAAAGCAGAGAAGAAGCTGTTGGAGGGCAGCGAAAATCCCCAAAATAGGTTGTTAAAATTATTAAGGTATAACATACCAACATAGAAGAGTCATCAGGTCAATTATCTCTAATTTCCCCTTCATGAACTGATATATTCTTTTAAGGAAGACTACATAATAGGGAGTATCAAACAAAGTTTTCAGCAACATCGATGGTGTGCTGCAGCTAGTTTGTGGTAACTACATAGAATATCTATCCATTATTCCTATGTCTACATATTCTCTGAGCACTAAACATATATAAGTGCAAAGAGGAGTACAGTATCGTGTCTAATGCCCTTGATAACATTGTATTGCCCGTGCCAATCTTGGGAAAACCCTGCTTTTAAATGCCATTTTGTAGAATATGGACCGGTACATTTGCAGCAAAAAGTGATTCATTGATGCACAACCTGAAAACTACTACCCTAATACTTAATATAAAACTCAGTTATATATTTAATTTGATCCTAAATATAAAATTTTAGTGCTTGTTTGGTTTCTTGTTTTGAAAACAATTTTTTATTTTTAAAAACAGAAAAATAAAAAACTTGTTTGGCAATTTATTTTTAGTTAATTGTTTTAAAAAAAACAATAATATGTTTTTAAAAACTGAAAAACCAAAACAACTTTTATATGTTTTCTTATTTTTTTTATTTTGAGAAATTGAAGAAATTTTCTTCTCTTCTCCTCTACTACCTACTACTTATCACTACCAATGATAACTACCACTTGTCAAAGTGTAATTTTTATATTTTTTTTGTCAAATGTGATTTTTTTTAAAATTATTTTTCAAACAAAGTTTTTTGTTTTTTGTTTCCAAAACTTGTTCTTAAAAACAATTTTATAAAATTGTTTTGAGAATAAGAAAACAAAGAACATAAACAAATAGGCCCTTAGTCTATCTTGTCTTTAATATTTATTCATTTTGCCACCAAATAACCCCTATGATAATTGCACATGTAAGGAATTTTCATCAAATGATAGTTCCAACACATATGATTAATCAGGATATTTTGGAAAAACCAAAATCTATTTATTACAAATAACTAATTTTTTTAATATCTGCAAATTAATTATCTAGCTCTTATATTAAGTAAAAGGGATAGTATAAAAATACTCATTTGTAAGAAAGTAAATGGAGGAATATTATGCTAGACACGAGTGTTGGGTACAATAACACCTCAAATTTTATTTAAAGACTAAGCATATAATTTTGTCACGGGGTGTATAAAGTGTTGTGTCCCATATCCAAGACAGTTGGAAAGTCTTACATTCTATGCAACAATAAGAACCAGCCTCACCTCAGAAGAGCACCGAAGTAAGCAATTCAAAGTGCCAAGAATGTTAGCTTTAACAACGTATGTTTATTTGTTGTGAATTGGTGTCCTGGAAAAGATAATCTGCATCCTGAGGGCTAGATACAGTATTGTTCTAGACCTCAGGATGCAGATTACCTGATCCTGACCCAATACCCTCTTCCAAGAAAGTTGAACCAATGGAAGTAGAAGAAAGAACAGAAAAGAAATAATTTATGAGTACATTCGATATCTATGATGCAAGGGATTTATAATCGTTGGAAAAAGTTACGGGTATAACTTTGAGATGGTAACTTGACATTGGAGCCTCAGAGAACATATACTGTTAGTTCTGCCAAAAAAAAGAAAAATGTTTTTTTTTTCTATGATGAAGGATCGTCCACAACTTCATGTTCTTTTTTAGCCAATCATGTTGTGGGGCCTCACCTGCTATCAGAAGTATTTTCTTGACCGCTTTCCAAAAGGATGCCTAGATGCTTAAATCTTCTTCATTCTGATGAAATATTGATTCCAGATTATCCGATATATTCATGAATGGCAGCATTATAGTGTGCTTGAAGTTTACTACTCTCCGATTTAATCTGACCTTTTTCTTTTTTTTTAAACTCGTCCTTGTGGAATCCTCTAGCTATCGCTTCCCGAAAGATGATGTTGACTGAATGAGAAAGACACCCTATTGATAGCATAAGAAAATGATTAAGCATATGGATCCCAAACAAGATCACATATATTCTTCTTATATGGATATGGGGCTAATGTTACTATGAAAGAATGTGAATGTTTCTGTTTTTATTGATGTCACAGATTTTACTACACCCTGACCCCCCCAAAAAAAAAAAGCCGATCTCTGAATGGATTGGCTTAAGCATTGGCGGAATTTTTTCAAACACAAAGCCAAGCATACACTCTTTAGCATTCAAATTAGATGAATCACAGTTATCCATTATTTTTTTTCCCTTTAAATTTTTAGGAGCATGTCCTGACTGTACCTGAGGACCATAAGAAAGTTATTCTTGAAGTGGACGGATTCCCAATTTGTTAATTTAAAAGCATGAGATAATGTTTAAGCATAAATTTAAAAAACATGGTTGGCTGTTGTTGCAGAGGACCATTTATCAGCAAAGTAAAGCAAATTCGTGGCTTCCAATATCCCCTCTTTTATTGAAGCCTGATCATATTGAACGTACCATATATCTTTGAAAGCGTTGCTCAATAGCTTTGTTCATTCTGTAGTTTTCAGATTGTCCTTTTTAATAAAAATATTTGATATTTAGTATTACTGGGTCATATTCGAATAAATAAAGCTTTCGAACTAGGTCTTTTACCCATTACATTCTAATCCCCAACCTTAATAAAATTGATCTTTTTACTAATTGATCCACTTATTATCATAATATTAATAAGTCTTATTTATTTTAAAATTTTATTATGAATCAATTTTTTTAAGAAATATTAAAATTATTCCCTATATCTTTTAAGAGGTATAATATCAAATTTACTTTGGTGTATTATAATGAATAATTTTAATCCTTTATTCTGTTTTTTGGGGTGACATTATCATTAGATATTATGGTAATGTCCCAGCGAAGGGACAGTATTGGGAAACTTGTGGTCCTAAACATGATAGCGATCATGTTACGTTATCTTAGGTCACATGAAATGAAATGATGTGAATCCAAACCAATGAATTCCTATGATTCCATCCCTCACAAAGAAAAAGGGAATAAATGCTCATACACTTGATTATATTGATGATGTTATTTATATTAATTAACCTATGCGTTTATGTATGTAGATCATGAATTTATAGTTTCAGTTGATCTAAACACTTTAAATATATAGCTTCCTAAATGTTTTTATATTTTAATTATGCATTGATTTTGACATATAGTGGCAAGCGCACATATAGAGGAGAGATTTGTTCAAGTATATCATCATATGTGAACCAACGCACAGGATCCTCTTCAAAATGATAAAACTATATTATTGCCTTTCACTTCTTTTTTTTTTTTTTTTTTGCCCCAATTGGGTCCGATTTATACATTATCCCCGAGATTTGCACCCTATATCCTTTGATATATCAAGCCAGCTTGCATATGTACAACTATGTATGGCTAGCAAATTAAATCAATTATTCTGTCCACTCTTAAACGTAGAAGTTACATAATCAATTTACAAAAATTAAAAAAAATTAAGTAAATTAGTTATTTATAAAAATATATATATCAGTTTACCTAAAATATTCATTTTAATCATTTGCATTGAATGTTATTCTCTTAATAGAAAATACCACTTAACATGTGTAATCAATAAAAATAAGCTTAAAAGATTATAAATCTAAAAAATAAAGTAAATTGAGATATTATATTTAGAATCAAAGCAAACCACTTTATTAGTTCTTACATTTAAGTCTAGAAACGTAGCATTTTACTAAGCAGTTTAGTTGAATTTTTTTTTTTTGGATACAAAGTTTAGTTGAATTATTAGCAAAATGGAATTGCTCTTGGGAGAAACAATAATATGCTTCCGATTTTTTAACTTTTTTTGCATAGAGGAAAAAATAAAAGGAGTATCAATGTAAAGTGAGGGTTTAACCCTACAAAAAAACCCAACGAAAAAAGGAAGGAGAAGAGACAAATTTTAAGAACTTTGCGTGTAAAAGAGGGAAACAACAAACAAATGTGGGCACAAAAGTTTCCATTATTGGGGCATTGTGATCACTACATTTTCTATATATAGGATGGGTGTCCAATTTAATTATACAATGGGACAAAAATAGCTCACATGAGCCTAGCTCTTTTTATGCCTTAGGCTCAATTAAAACGACTAAGCACGTGCAAAGCTTAAATACCTTTTGATCTGGGGAACAAAAGTATGGAGCAAATATTGTAAATTGGAATGAAAGGCATATGGTCCAATATTTGGCCAAAAAAAATATGCATGTAGACATTCTAGGCCTCATCATACTCCAATTTGAATCCATCATTGATGGCATTAGTATTAGATTCTAGATGATTGTTAAACAAATTTCTTTAATGGTGGGAGAGTTAGCACCATAAGATAGCACGGCGACATTTTTTTTTAATTTTTAAATTATGGTATAGTTTCTTATATTTTTAAATTGAGTTAACGTTATTGAATCTAGAATTTCCCCTAAACAGCTTTTTTTAATCTAGCTAGAGACAATGTATGTAGGTTATGGGTCTTACTTGAGAGCTCTCCGCCATTTATGATGTTGCTGGATTTTCTATCTTTAGATCTTTTACCCTCAATAAAAGTCCTTAGTTAGAGGAAGTTTGGTTAATTAGTTTAGAAGTCTTCTGGTTAGAGATGCTCTGCGGAAAAAGAAAATTAATGCTTTAAACAAGCTATATTATATTATGAAACATGTTGTGCGTTGGAGGGAGTAACTTTTAAGATTAAGCTATTCTCACATTACCTGACTGGTTGCTTAATGCCAACAGCTTTTCACACATTATTAAGTGTACAGTATTGTTATACATCTGACGAGCTAAGTTGTAGAAGGCAAAAACAATCATTTTGTCTGAAGAGGTGACACTGCCGTCTGTATGTATTGCACGAAGCACGAAGGTCATGGCAAATAATTTTTTCTTCTTTTTTTATTAATACAAAACTGAAATACATTGCTTCATCAGAAAGAGTACATCAAGATCATACACTAGTTTCCCTCATCAATCTCCACCTCTTGATTAATAAGTGGAAGTTGATTAATGATACAAAAATTAGTCTCCATATTATGGGAGTTCTTAGCTAAGTAGTCACAAAGTGTGTAAAGTCATCCTTGCAACTATAGCTCCGCAAAACCTGTCAGTTCCTGTAAACCAGTACTCTAGCATCATTGATAGTAATATCCCAAAACGGATGAGTCTGCTCACATCCCCTAGTAATCAAGTTAATATATCTTCTATACTCTCTGAATAAACAGCTATATTTCTAAACCTCTAGGCCAACGTAGGCACGTCAAGACCGTTCATGATTCCTAAAGTCCACAATAGCTGGAGGAACTGATCTGAGTTTGCAGGCGTCCACCTATCCATCAGTCCCCTTTGTCTTTGATGATCATGCCTCGCTGGACAAGTTCACTGGAAGCCTGGAAGAATCAAGAAATGAAAATTCATGCAAATCCTTGGATTAATTCCTACAATATGCTATTGGTGGGAAGGAGGAGGTAATCCGCATCGCAAGGTCTAGGGTACAATATAATGAATCATTGTCACCTCAAGATGCAGATTACCCATTCCTAACCCAATGCTTATACATGTAGCTCATGGAGAGGAAAAAGATGATATATTCTTTCAAATGAAGTTTATGGAATTTCTGAGATGACCAAGAATGGAAGAAGCAGCTATATATAGCTCCGCGTATCTGCAGAAAAGCTGGAACTTAAGAATTGGTGGTAAGGAAGAGGTAATCTGCATCCTAAGGACTAGGTACGATTTCATAAATTATTGTCATAGACCTCAGGATGCAGATTACCCGATCCTAGCCCAATCAGTGTACTGACTCTCTCAAAGATGAGAGGGAAGGAAATAGAATTGGAAGAAGAAAACAAACAATCCCCGATGAAAAATTGATGCTTCTATATCAGAGGTTATTTATAATGTTTTAAATCGGCAATGATATATACGGGGGTCCACAAAAAGCTAATAAGCTAATAAGGTGCTCTACAGATAGATATGAAAAAACCCTCTTTATTTCTCTGATTCATTTCTTTGTTTAAAAAATCATTGGTAGGGTATATAGCTGTCTCATTCCGCAGATTATGTATTCTTTCTCGATTCTTTCGAAAGCGCAACGATACAATCTTTCCTTTTAGTCTGATGTAAAGATATATTCTTTACAGGTCATGTGACAATCTAGTGAATCTGTGTGTTGGAAGCTTATTAATGATCACCATGTACCTGAGAATTTTAAGCTTTAATTTAGACCAAATCATTGAGGTGCCACGTGGAACTTCTTTCTCAGCTAGCTCTCTTGTTCCTGCTCTGGCATAAATGATAAATCTGAAATGAAAGAAAAGCAAAGCAAGGGTCCCCAGATAGACTGGCTTTTAATTAGCAGAATAGTAGCTCATTCTCATTCTATTCCCTTGTCACTGCTTTGATTGCAAGTATATCTTTAAAGCACGAAGACAATTATTGCCTTGGATCCCGAACTATTGGGTTACATATAGGTTAAAATTAACGAAAACTTTAATTTGAACTTGTATGATGGATTATGATTTTAGCACACCTTTATTTTAAGCAGACAAAACACATTCAAAACTAAGGCTAATTGCATGCATCTATTTCAAAATTTAAGAATTTGTCAATAGAAGTTCAATTCATAATGAATGAATGAATGAAGTGTAGACAGATGGTATTTAATTACAATATATAACCTGGTCGTTACAATTTTGCATTTTCAAATCATGCTGATGGAAGTTAAGAGAGTTAGAATGAAACTTCTTCAAGAAATTTCCGTTGAGTTGGGAAGTATCCTCCTGTTTTCTTAAATACTGATTTGTCGACTTTAATTTATAATAGTAATACTCGGTGTACTTTTGAAGTTGATATGATCTGATATTGAGTGGGTTGATTATTTAAGTGTAAATAAAATAGTGATATTTATGGGCCAGTAAGTTGTGTTAACTGTTGCCTCATCAAGATACAAATTAAATTTTGAATCTATCCTCATAACAGAACTAAGAAAAAGTTAATTAGTCATAATTAATTAAACAAATACTTGAGAAACTGTACCTATATATATGGGCATCGCCATCATCTAGGTCAGATAGAAAGAAAATTATAATGTTTGTTGAAAGTTGAAACGGAACAAAGTGGTCTAGTCAACATTACTGATTACTTTCCTTAATAAGCATTCTGCAAAAATACTGCGAGAGGTCTCGTCGTATAGCATATAGTTCTGGTGATAAAGTGGTGCTATCTAGCTAGGAATTTGCTTTATTTGTCCGAAACACGTGCGATTGGCATAAAATTATGGTCCTCTGAACCTCTACTTTGGTCATGCACGTCTCTTACTATATACCCTTTCAATTTCAGTTCAAGAATATCATTCTTATATATGGTCCTCAAATTCATTGAAAAGGTCCCATGCAGTAATAGACTAGGTAGGTTCTTGTTCCTGCACCAGATAAGTACTCCTAGCAACATCCAGAACATATATTCTTCCTATGAATCCCTTTATTATTGAAGTGTTTCCGTGAAGCTAACTGATCTTTTTGACGGTAGCGGCTGCCTCATGTGAAGAACAGAATATTCGAGCTAGGAAGATACAAAGAAAAGGAAGATAAGTCCCTTGATTCGTTTCCACCGCACGGTTATCTTTCAAGATTAAGCTGAAACTAACGTAAGCATGCTTCGTTGAAAAGCTGCCAGATGAAAATTTTGCTTCCACTTTCACGTTATGTCAGTGATTACTATAATGAATTATAATTTATCTTGTTTTAGGTAACTAAAACTGTGTCAAATATCTTGCGCTGCAGAAACAAGTTTTAGCGTGCTCGGTTTCACGTTAAGTAGCGTAGAAGTAACTGTGATTTAAAGCTACAAAATCATGTCCGTAAATGACAACCAAACACATTCAATAGTAGACTATGAAAATGTTTCAAGGGAACGAATGCATTCTTCAACAATATAATCAGAATATTGATCACTGTTTTAATGTCGGAGAAACCATTTGTTGTTAAAATCACGACACGAAACACACAGGATTTCAACTAAAGAAATTTCTCAGCTTAATTTATTTACACTTTTTCTTTGTGCAACACTGCAAAACACGGATGGAAAATCTAGATCTGCCACAATGAAGCTAGCCCTCCAATATGAATGGAATAGAATGTGCGGCTGGTCAGTGGTGGTGAAAATGCAAACTAAGAATGAAGCAAGATAAAATGCGCCACCCTTTTCCTTTTTATTTCACCGTCGTCTTTTTGCGATGGAGATAGTGAAGAATAATGCATCTATATCAAAAAATATCCACGTGGAACAAGAGAGGACCGAGGACCGAGTGTCCATATAAATTCCGAACATTTCACACAAAAGGAACTCATCATCAATCAACCCAGACCTTCAACAAAAATCATTCTTCTATTGGAAGAGTCAGTATTGGGTGAGGATCGGATAATCTGCATCCTGAGGTCTAGAACAATACTTTTTGCTCAATTTGTCTCTAGGCCTCAAGATGCAGATTAACTCTTCCTTGCACCAATGTAACATCGATTCAATAAGCCCCTCCCTCCCTCCGTCCCTCCGTCCCTTCCTCCCTGTGATAAGCCTGTCTTTTTTACTTAGATTAACGTACTTTGTGCTCCTGTATGTATTGCATTATCATTACTACTACACTGCTGTAACGTACTTTGTGCTCCTGTATGTATTGCATTATCATTATTACTACACTGCTGTTAGTGGTCATCTCAGTCACATGGTAGCAGCTAGACTTGATATTTTTAAGGCTACGCTTGAATCAAGACGAATGTACCCCGGGGGGAGGGTGGGAGAAGAGTATATTTGGTGTAGTAATTCTTCTTAATTTATTTCTAGTTCAAACCCCTCTCATTCTTTTCCGTTCTTCTCGCTCCAAACCTAATTATTTATGTAAAACTTTTTTGCTTCAATTTATCCAATCTTCAGCTTATGCTTGACTTTCGATAATCATATCTCATCCTCAAATCCTCTATTAATTATCATTGTTGGGCTTGGGTTAGATTCAGTAAGTACGGAAAATCACAGATTATATGAAGACAGCTGAAAATGCGTTTCCTAAATAGTGTATGCCCGGTAGCTGATGAATGTTTGTTGGTGAGAAGAAGAATTGAAATTTTCGCACTTGTAGAATCGTGTGTTTAAAACAAAAGTGATAGATGGGGACATCTGATAAAATCGAAACAATACAGAGAAAATTAGTATATCTCTTGCACAAAAATGATACGCTCACATTGAGAAGAAAAAAAAACAAAGGTGACGGAAAGAAAACAACAATGTGTATGAGATAAACTTTCATTTTCTCTTTCTATTGTTCATCCCGGCCCCTTTTCGGGTGTATGCATCATATATGTAATCACTTTTACGATGGTAAAACATTGGAGTAAATGAATTGGATATTTTAGTTTTATGATTGCGCTCCAGACTACATAATGAAAAAGGTACGTGGTTGCTATTATATATATTGTGACTGGCAGCTTAAATCCAGCTGGTCCAGAATGTGTCTCGTCAAATTTTTGACCATCTGTGTTAATTAGAAAGAAGCTAATAATTGTGATGACTGACTCTCTTCAAAATGAATAACTCGGTCCTTAATATAGGACACAATTCCTGAGTTGATTTGGTCCTAAATATAAGAACCCTTTCTCATATTTATCAATTTTCTCTAAATTACCCCTATGAATACTCCCTCCAATGGTATGTCACTTTTTTATAATTAACTAACTTACCTAACTTCCTTAATCTAATCAAATTAGTTAAATGGGTCTTATATTAAGGACCTATTCTATATAGGATTCTGGACACTCCTTCGAGGTGTAAATTAAAGGACTTTTGGTTGATTTGTATAACGCATGGCCTTTGTATCCTAAAAAAATTAATTCAGACACGTGCCAAAGTCACGTGGAACTTTCTGATCCACTTTCTCTTGCTCTAGCATAAAACATGATTCTCAAAATGAAACAATGGTGATTGAAGCAGATAAAATAGAGAAATGGCTATATAATATCTCAAAAGCCTATAGATCCTCATCTACTAATTAAAGAGGAAAAGCAAAACTACCAGGTGGAGATCGAAAAATGATATGCTTGCTTCAGTATCTGTAAAATGTTCTTAGCTGATAATTTATTTAATTAGACTGTGAAGCAATATATTCAGTTTAACAATGCATAAGACTTGTCCATTATACCAAAAATAGTCTGTAATAAGCTGCTTGATTAGACATTCTTCAAACTTGTATGTCTTTGATATTTTCCTTCTAAACATTTGACGTGGGACTTTTTATGTACTCCAATATAGATAACTTGTTATTATTAATCAGATTGAGAAGGTAATGAATTGAAAAGCGTGAAAATTAATTTAGACAGCAAAGAATATAAAAAATTTAATGAAAGATAATAAATTAGTCCTTGGATATATATATGTACTATAAGAAATTTTCTTTCCTTTTCTAAATGAAGATTATCGAAAGGCCTACATTATCATTCTTTGCTTCCTCTTCTTGGTTCCCCCCCCCCCACCTATCAGCAAAGAATCATATAGATGCACTTTGGGCGTTAACTAACAATGAATATCTATGTCGACGTCGACATACGATTCTGTTTACGTCATCGTCACGTCAGGCTAATAATGAAGTGAATGTATATAAATGGGTATTCCCAATTTGTGAAGAATAAATGCATTAATTATTTGTGAGGTTGGTGTGGCAAAAGTAGAGGACCAGTTTGTGTCGATCACCTTATTCTCCTACCCTTTCTAAAGGATATATAACTCGTATTTGGAAACTAAACTTGGGATCATTATTGCTTGTGATATTTTTATCTTGATGATAAATCGTAACGATAACCTTCAAGATATCTCTTGTTATCCAAAACTTATTTGGAAAAATATGTGAAACATTTCAGAAAGACTTGATAATTCGAGTACTAAAGTTATCGAAATTTTTTGAAGTAACCGTCTGAATAATAAAATTTTTAAACATAGACTTGTACCAATTTTTGAAACTTATTTTGTGCTAGGTATGGTCAAGAAAATAAGCAAATGATTAAAAATAATTTATAGACCTGTTCATATGTTCATTCTATCAATCATTTTCTGGCTTTTTTTTGGGTTAAACTAGCACTTTAATTTGCCCGATATATTTCATTTGATTAGGTATCATTTCATTCTATCTTCGTTGACGTTCATATAGAGTATAACTCTTGCATACGCATATGTGAGAGTTTACTGTATTGAGCTGAATATATATTAATATTCAAAGAGAAAAATCCCAGAGTTAAGTTCAGCTTCAGTTAAAAGGATTATAACCTAGCCTCTTTCTTAGAGGGTATATGAGCAGGGATTATGACATTAATTAACTATGTAAAACAAATATATTGGATAGTTTTTAAAATATGGCATGTAAACTCATTCCTTTAATTAATTTGTTGAATAAGAATTAAGAATTAACTTTTCAATATCGAAGCATGAACTGATTGTCATCCACATGAACTCACAAGGTTAAGTAAACTCATCGTATGTATGTAAATTGATTATCATAGCTTATCATACTTAACAAAAAAAAATTTATGAAATTTATATATAAAGTCATTAATCATAATCAAATTAAAAAAACAAAAACGAGTTTGAAATCAAGTTAACACATGATTTTGCAAGTAAGAAATACAAAATTGATAAACTCGATAAATGAACTCCGTGAGTTCAACCAAATTCGCAACTAGTACAAGTTTAAAAGTGATTCGATACAATTTTATAAGACGAAAACATAAAATGCCGACATGATTTACTGTTTCAGGAATAACTCGGAGCTTTTGGCTCAGGAACCGAAAACATCATTGATTTACAATGATAGTATATCACATGCAAGGGTGCGTATGTATATACATACATTCAGGTCAAGCACTGCCCAGACATAAGCATATCCATACGAATTGGCATCTAACTTGGAGCCCCTGAAAGTTTCATAAGTTAGTACATACAGATCACTTCTACCGTTTGAATAAACTTCACATCATGGTATTGAAATGAGGAGAATAATGGGAAAGAGAAATACCTACAACTGAATAAATCCAACCTTGTTTTGCTTCTTGGCCATGGTCTCCTCAATACAAGAACACGATCGAAGGACTTTCATATGAATGATTTGCTTTGTAGACGTATTGATGTAAGGAAGAGGTAATCTGCATCGTGAGGGCTAGAAACAATGCAAATTCAGCTAAAAGTATTGTTCTAAACCTCAGGATGCAGATTATCTGATCCTCACCCAATCCTCAGGACTCTTCCAATAAGAATAGAACAAGAGAAACATGAGAGTAATCTATCAGATCGGCAAATTGTTGATGAGTTTCGTCCGCAGGTCAGAAAATAATGCAATAAAATGGGACAGCACTCTTATTCCATTATGAAATCACAATTGTCTAAGTAATTTCATCATAAAATCTTGTGGAGAGGAATGTTGGACCATGGGAATGGTATTCTTGAATGGGATTTGAAAGGGTATAGAATCCCCATTTTTTTTTAATGGAAATGACATTTATAACAACAATGATTTGCGCAAACGAAACAATTATCAAATTTCAGTCAAACTCTAATTTAAATTCAGGTTTAATGAAATCTCCGTCAAACTCTTAATCAAACTCAAACACCAATTAATACATAAATTTATACAAATAGAGAAAGTATACAAATTTTCTCGCCCGATTCCCTCTCAAAACATCTAATCAATCAACTAGAATTTTAAGAAAAATAGCAAATATTCCATATCTGTAAAATATAAATTTGTATAAATTTAAGCCCTAATAACAAAGAGGAAGAGATGAAATTATCAGATCTGAGATTTTATAATCACACTTATAAATCAACACGCATGAATTTCCAGCGCCGATCTCAACAAAAACAATACAGTTACATTCAGATCTGAAATTTATAACCAAGAGTGGGAAATCACCAGAAATTTCATGCCCTAGGGTTTAAATTCATAGCTAACTGCAAGGAAAAGTAGACTCTATAACTAAGAAGAATTAAGAGGAACACATTACTGAGAATAGAGGAGAAAAGAGAGGAAGACGCTGCTGAAATGAGAAGAACTGAAGGAGAGAGGAACTTGCGTCGCCGCTTACCCTCTGGTCCTTAGTTCTTATCTTTATAGCTCTTTTTCGCCGCTTCGCCCTTGCCTCTGGTTCCCTTTTATCTTTATCTCTTCAGGCTTCTCACGTGACCACCGCTCTCTCAAACCTAAACCTAACTCTAGTTACACAAATTTACCCTACTTATAATTCTTAATATAAGACCCAGTCTTAACTAATTTGAAAACATTAAGATAGTTATTAAATTATTTTATTATAATATATGTTATATGATCTTTTCAAAATATTTATGTGTATCATTAAATTATATATGAATTGATATTTAGTAATTTCTTTAATCTCTATAAATTAGTCAGCCGAGCCTTATATCAAAGATAACATGTAGTGTACGTCAAGATAATAAAACCCCACACGTCAAGGCCAATAAATCTCATTAATGATCTTAAATTCCCTTTTTGACCAGCATTAATGATCTTCAATTTAACTCTAAAGATCAACACAAAATAATATACTACTCCGTCCTTTATTATAAGATCATTTTAACTAAATTGTCCGGTTTAAGAAAACAGTTAAAAATAATTAATAAGTAGCAAATACAATCTTTTTTATAAATATACCCCTATATATAAATGGGTAGATGTGAGAGAGTAATAGTGAAATAAATGAAGAAAGAAAATATATTAAATGCATTGAATTAGGGGTAAAATAGGTAATAATACATTAAATGTTTAGACAAACTCAAAAAGAATCTTATAAAAAGAGACAAATCCATTCAAAAAAGTGAATCTTATAATAAGGGACGGAGGAAGTAACATTTAATCGCAGCATGGAAAAAATATCAAATGAAATTTAATAATTGTTTTGTAAAATTTGACTAATTAATTTTCAGCAAATACTAAATGGTTAATAAAATAAAATATAATTAAACTTAATTATCTAAATTATATTGTTAAAAAAAATAAAAAAAGGATAAAAATATATAAAAATGTGATTTGCCATGCGTTGAGCGCCCTAAAAATGTGATTTTGCAAATATATTTCCTTTTAAAAATGTTCATTAAAGTGAATTATTAACGGATGGAATTGGAGAACATTGCAAATTTGGTTAGATGATCTAACTTAGATCAAATTAATGTTTTGGAATAAAAAATTTACCATGAATTAATATATACATGTTATGGTAAAGAAAATTTAGATTCAAGTGATATGGATTAGTTGGGAAGAAAAAACAGGGAGAGAGAGAAAGGAAAAGTTGGATGGATTCAATTAGCATGTCAGTAGTAGCCCAGTTCTTTACGTGCTTGAGATTGGTTGGCCCAGCAGTTGATAGACATTGGACCAAAAGCTAATCCTTTATTCAATTGGGGCCGAAAATAAAACAAAAAATCACTAGTGAAAAAAGAACATCATTGGGTTTGGATTAGAGTTACCAAAAAGGGATGAGTCTCATGAAATAAGATAATATTTTACAAGGTGATAAATTGAAATTTAAATCCGCTGGAAAATAACTGTACCTAGCAAAAAAGAGTTTTTTTTATACATAAATTTTAAGAAAGGAATGGGCTCATCCATGATACAAAAGCAAGAAAACTAACTCATGATCTACCTGAATCTGTCTCTATAGGCACGAGAACATGTCAAGCAAGCCCATTCTGACTGGCCTAATAGGTAGAATTTCCCAGTTTCATTTAGCTGCGAATATGCCTCCTCTAACACCTCAACCAGCTCAGGAATCGGACTCACTCCATTTGTGAGAGTGTCGACGCCCTTGCTAACTGAACTCAAGGACGAGAGGTAAAAAGAGTTTGGATTAAAATTCTTGAACCAGAGTTTCTCACTAGGAGATGCGTCCGACACGTTTAGTGGCTAGCAGCATAGATTACCTCGTGGAATATTTTGCATCTGCGAAACCTCCTCCTTCCAACCTATTGGGAAATTACCATCATGCCCGGCGAAGACAAGACGGAGCCGTCACAATTTATCTTGACAGCATCCAGATCATTATGATTGAGAAACACTAATTAATATGAATCTTGAAAGTAACTCTCCAGAACTCAGCAACAGGAGCATTAGTAATGTTAATATCCCTACTTGGATCAAACCGTACAGGATCAGTAACAACCCATATATGGGTTAAATCTGGTCCAGTCGCACAGAACGAGAAAATGCTCGATAGTCTCACGAAGAGGAGTGGGAGAACATTTCACGGAGCACAAAGCATCTTTAGTTGCTAGGGAAGCATTAAGGGCTCTCCACAATTAGGATGAATCTTGAGCTTCTATAATAAGACTTTCCAGAGTGAGTTTGGGAGCAGACAAGATGAACTTGATTTCCTTCAAATTGAAGAGTAAGATCCGGTAAATTCAAGGCTATCTCCAATAACAACGATGAACGATAAGAGTGTTTAATTTGGAATCAATTTCGGTATTCATCATTTTGATAAACATTTTAAACTTATTATATCATTCATATCTTATTTGGATAGTCCAAATTGGATTTCTTGTTTATTTTTATTTATTTAAAATAATTATTTTAATATGTATAGAATTTAAAATAGAGATAATTTCTTAATTATCATTCTTTTAAAAAAATAACTTTCCTATTTAAAAATAATTAATTAAAAATTTTAAATATGAACTATTCAAATCAAATATAAAAAATCTAAATATGAAACTAGTCTGTTTAATTTCGGCCTCGTTGAGAGTGAGTGGGCACAAAAATTGTTACTGAGAAGACGGAAAGTGCAAGATAATTTCTAGCAAATTAAAAGAAGATCAAGAGGAAAATAAAAATTACACCGTCGGCTTCAAGAGCTTTATCTTATAATAAAATCTATAAACAAAAAAGGTTCAACTTTTTGATAAAAATTTACCTGCTGCTGCAAAAACTGAGACTTTAAAAAAAAAATGTGTCTTAATTTTCAAGATAAAGTTATTCTCACATTATCTCAGTAATTTTCATCAAGATTAACGAATTTCTTGTGGTATATAATGATGAATAACTATTTCAAATATACACCTAATTTAGTAGCCAAATCTAACCAAAACAGTTCACCAAGAAAAAAAAATCCAAAAAAAATAATTGTTGAATTTTAAAATTCCAAATCAGAAATTATTACAAAAATTTGTTGTCATTTACTTTTTAAATGTAGTCGTTTTTTTTATGAGTGTAGTAATTAATATTGATTTGAAATTTTGAAATTCAACCATCATTTTTTTGGATTTTCCCAAAACGAAAAAAATCCAACCAAAACACATGTGGCTAGCTACTAACTTACTATGATCGGGCGAATGAACACGGCCTGATTAACAAGTAAACCACGTCGATTTGTCTATCAACCATTATGGTAAACTGAACATTAATCCATTCGAGATACACATTAATTTCTCTTTTTGAAAGCGGAGGCAAAATTACCAATAAAAATTGGTCTAATTAACAGAAAGTTAGTATATAACCCACAAGTTCGCAACTCTAATTCTCTTGCAAGAAAACAAGGACCAGCCTATAGCTATCACGAGATATCAATTTTTTCTTGTATTTGGAATTGGAATGACTTTACACAATACTCGAAGGTATCTCTAAATAATAATACTGCTACCTCAATCCAGCTCTCTAAAATTAGCACCATGATGAAAATAGGAAAAATATCTCCAATCGTTATTCTCGTTTATGGTTAGTGGATCACACTGCCCCAAGATTAATAATACTTAGCCAACAAAGTCATGCACAAGCTGCCCTCCAATCACCTGGTCTCTTCCATAATGCCGATTCTGCGATTCAGAACCACTTATTACATAATCTTCGTTACTGGGTACTTCTAGGGCAAGGCCGAAACGGAGAGCTTCACTCATGGGAAAAGGTTCAGATAGAGCAAGCCCGCCGTTGTTCTGGTGGAGACCCAGCGTGAGGGAGACGCTATTGGCCACTGTTCCAACACCTAATGCCTGATTATTATTAACGTTGCTTATTGCATTACAAGGCAACTGATTCGTCGCTGCAGACATATGATCATGAGTCGTAGGTTCATAATTTCTGGTGCGTTTAAAAGGAGCATCATCTTGAAACCTGTCACTAGTGCTGGGCTTGTTCTTGTTGTGATCTTCTGTGTTCTGATGATTCTTCTGGGACTGTCGTGTCTCTAGCATGTGTATTTCTTCAACCATTGGTTTCCACAGCCTCACTCTCGCATTAATGAACCAGTTTGACACCTGTTACCACAATCGCACAAAAGTTAAGCTTTTTGATTTTTTTAGGTTTATATAACTATAACAATAAATTGAATCGGATGAAATTTCGATACTCCATCAAAATTACTCACCTGGCTACGAGACAAACCAGTCTGTCTCGCCAGCATCAGCTTGTCTGTATCAGTAGGATATCTGCATCCGAGAAAGATTAAAATAAATAGTCTGAACAATATAATCAAGCCGGGGAATTCCATGATGTTGAATTGGAGGGAAAAAAAAAAAGGCAATAATACTATAATCAAAGATTTCAGGTTTCTACATGGGAAGTTATGCAGTGGCGAACTACTCATTTCGGCTATCAATAGTAAAGTCCCCTACTGAATAACGATCTATATGTGCTTTTAATTCAAGTTTGATGTGTTAACTTGTGTGCATCTCCCAATCTGCGACTAGCGTCTAATCCACACAACATAAATAACTAAGAAAGAATGAACTGCCATGCCCTTGAATAGCAGAAATTGAGGAAGGCACTCATTACTCGATAAATATAAACCACCATGCATATATGTATATAAAAAAGGTTCTTACGGGTGTAGAAAGTGCTCAAACAACCATGCCCTAAGAACAGTCACAGCACGTTCGGGGAGTCCTCGTTGAGGTCGCCAGATCGGTTGGTTTCCTAGTAATTCGGGGTTCTGAGTATCCCTAATTTGGCCGTAAGGTCCTACTCCTCTATGGTCAACATTTCCAAACCTTGGAGATTCATCCTTCTTGTTGCTTATATTGTGAAAATGAGCCTTATTAGTGAACTGAAGCTGGTCCATGATCACATTCTTCAAGCATTTGAAATGCTTGGTCATGGCATTTATGGCCAAGATCACATAAGGAGCCGCGTTGCCCAGGCCTGAAACATACTCAAATGACGTTACTACTGCTTGTATCTGTTGATAGTACTGCCTGTACCTTCTGTACACCTGATGATACTTAACAAAGTTAGAAGATTTCTATACAATGATAGGATTGAAATTTAAACTAGTTTTGTGAACAAAAAATAAATGCTCTCATATCTTCTGCTGCTATTTCAGCAAAACTTGAGACCATTACAAGAAAAGGTTGAACATCAGCACAAAGTGTATACAATAGGGATGTATAAAACAAAAATTAACAAGAATCAACTTTTGGCCGAAAGAAGCAAGGCACATACAAATTATGAATGACATAACAGGATAAGCATGTCCAGCCAATTTCAATATATACTCCTCCGGTCCTAAATATAAGATCCGTTTTGTAATGTAATTACATTACAAAACGGATCTTATATTTAGGACCGGAGAGAGTAATTATGTATACATGAAGCTATAAGAGAAGTGTTTCAAGAGATTTGTGATTCAAGTTATTCACGCATGAATAACAGAATACACATGTTAAAAGTACGTTTCAAGATCAAAGAAACGCCACAGATATCCCCTTTTTGATAAATTTAACATATAAAGATATGGCTTCTAATTAGTCTAATCAAATCTACAATCTCAGCACCAAACCTAAACGGTACAAATAGTTCAAGAGATAGACGTATTAAATAATAAGTGTTCATCATTAGTAGTATAATTAATTAATGATGATATTAATTATTAATTAGTTAATGTAATAAATAAACAGGAAAATTAAACAGTAAAATACAAGATCTATACGGATCATATGAAACCATGTGTTATACTACCTCCTATCCTAATTATAAGTTCTCGTTTGTAAATTACAAACGAGGTCTTATAATTAAGACAGAAGTAGTATAATTAATGCAATAAAAATGAAACCAATACCACATAAAGTGCAAAACAACTTGGGGATGCAAATGTGGGTTTCTTTCAAATATTGGAATACCAAGATGATTATATACACACTTTATGGAAGTATAAATCTTTGCCAAGGATTCCTTCAATTATTACTTTATGCACAATACGCTCGATCTCCAATATATGAGCGACATTACATTGTGTCACCTGTTTTATATGGAACTCTTTCTATGGTTGTCAGGCACTTTATAATACCATTTTTCGTGCATATATTCCCTCCCATTAACTTTTCCAAAAAGATAATCGAGTTCACCGAGGACATCAACCTTATGATATGCAAGAATCTACACGCACATATATTATTATTATTATTATTATTATTGTTATTGTTATTATAATAATAATAATAATTACTATTATTTATAATTATCACAATTAAAAGTGCAATAAATAACCAAGACATAGACACACGAACATCATAATTAGCATCCTTGGCCGATGCAATCAGTCAGACAGCATCCGACTCAACCAGTAATAAATCAACCCACCAAACACTGACGTTATATTAATCATAACGTGGTTGGTATTGATGCTATTCTTCAATTGCTCATGATGCTTCAGGAGTGGCTTACTTGACTTTGTTGTTCAAAACGTTGAAAATTATACAATACTGGGCTTCATTACCACTATGATTATTTTCAACCAGAATATTTAAAACACGGACATAAATCAATATCAAGACGCTAGCTCTCATATTACTTTTACCCAAAAAAAAAAAGATTTAATAACCCTGCAATTATTATAAGACCACTGAACAAAATAAAATTGGGAAGAACACGGAACGCCAAAGTCCATTAAAGGTGAAATATGAGCAATTTTAAGGGCAAGGATTAAGTAACATTTATTTTTTATTTTTTATTTTTTTGGGGATAGGGGACAAACGAAGAGCACACGAAGTCAATTGTTTTTCCTTACATTACCGTACGATTAAATGTGTGAGTGAACAATATGTTTCTTTACAGGAAAAATTGCCAAAAGAAATTACGATTATGATTATAATTGCCGCATACTTTTTTAAAATCAAATCCCACTATCACATTTCACATTGATTTCTTCTCCAAAAGTATTCATTTATATGCCAAAATTTGGTCACTTAAAAACAACACAAGTGGGCAGAAGACAGTCGGACCAACTTTGAACATGAACTAACTCAGTTGAAGCTGATATATCAGAGCCAGAAAGTAAACCCAACCCATTTCTTGTTAAAAAGCCAAATGATAAAAACTGATATCAGGGGAAAAGAAAAAAGAAAAAAGATCAAATAGGCAAATTCCAGATAAAGCCGATTAGGTCTATTCCAAAAACACGACATGACGAGTTTCAGGCTCACATGATTAGATTTCTATCAAGAAACTGATAGAAAACAACCAAACAAGTGCGTCCAAATTGCATACCTCATCAAGCATGGTTAACAGTCTCGACTTTTTCTTCCCACCCTCCCCACCATCCCCAAGTGTCGGCGGCGGATCGCCGGAGCCGAGGCTCTCCAACAACGGAGGAGGTCCCATCAACGAAGCATCCGCCGACATCTTTTCTGCGGCGCAAATTTGACGACCCCCAACGTCGCAAAGCTCCTCCAATAACTGCTGAGCCGGCCTCAGAAACCTCGATCCCTTCAACACCGAAGCGTAACCCGTGAACGGCCCCAGCGGAACGACGGAGCTTCTCAAAACGGCGTCGTTGGCCGGGATGCTCACGGAGCCGCCATCATACCTCTGAAGATTCAGCTCAAGTGGGGGATTACTGTTAAGATTGGCTTGATGAGCACAGTGATTGTGGGAGGAGGAGAGAGATAAAGACAATGGCTCGGCGCGAAGGGTTTGAGCGAGAGGAAAGTTAAGAAAAGGGTTGTTGTTGATAATTTGCACAGTTGCAGGGTCTATTTGCAAATTGGAGGATTGAGGATTATTGTTGGCGCACGTAAGCAGATCGGAGGGAATAAGGGAAGGGTCGGAGACCGGGAGCAAACCGGCGCACGCCGCCGCAGGCAGGGAAGAGTGTTGGTTGTGAAAGCCGACCCTGAGCTTGTCTCTCCGGCTCTGCTGAGGAACATGGTAAGGTTCGAAACCCTCCTCCATTGGAACAAAGCTCGGGCTGCAGACGAAGAGGCGGGGAAGCCAGAGGAGGAGAGAAGGAGGAGGAGGAAGAAGATTTGTTGGAAAAGGGTGAGAAGAACAGTGCAGTTAATGATGAAGTGAAAGGATATTATCCCGATCTTTATTCTGAGCTCAGTTCAGAAATTACGAACAGTGACATTGATCCATGATTGACACCATAAAATACGTGCAGTGGGCTGATATTACCCTTTATAATATCATATCATTTGCTTGGACATTATTTATTAGTTTTCTAATAATTTAACTGGTGTCATTTTCCTGCTTTTTTGTTTTATTAAGTACTATGAATTAAATAAATCATAATATTTTAGAAATACCGGAGTGTATCGGAACCAGCTAAAAAGAATAGTTGAGTTGATTTGAATGCACACACAATCACAATCACAACAGACACACACAACGAAACTCATTTTCTCTCACTTCAACAGTTGCATTTCTGCAGCTCCTCGTCGTCGTCTTCTGCTCTTTGATTTTCCTGCGGGACTCCCAACCAGATGTCATCAAGCTTTTCTTTTTTGGCTTTTAAGTTTTGTTGTCAGTTACTTTAAATAATACTCTTTCTATTTTTAATATAAAAATTAATTATTAAATTAATTTTATCTTAAATATAAAATTTATTTTTATAATTATTAATTTTTAAATTATTTTATAGATATTTTCTTAATTATAATTAAGTAAAAGAATAAGGTGGATATTAAGAAAGATGATTATGGTATTTTAGAAAAATATGTCATATTTTTTATAATTAACTAATTTACCTAATTTTTTAATTTAATCAAATTAGTTAAATAGGTCTTATATTAAAGACTAGAAATATACTTTTTTAATCACTATTAAGGTTAGAAATTGAAAGTTTAAATAATGAATTCGTATTTTACGTCAGGATTAATATATGAGATGAACTATAATCTGTTTGGGCAGAGATAAAGTATAATATTACTATCTCTAATCCTAATTATGAGATTTTGTTTATATAATTTTTGGTCATTAAATAAATACTATCTCCGACCCTAATAATGAGATCTTATTTGTATATAAGATATTATTTATAATCTACAAACGAAATCTTATAATTAAAAAAACTAGGTATATTTGTTTAGTGACCCAAAATATAATATTATATATGATTGATAAGATCAACGTAGAACGTAGAGAACTAGAGATATATTATATGCTTAGGTGTAGGATGTATGGATACCATAGATATAATAATGATATGCGTGGGAAGAATCTTTATGGGTACGTACGTATTTTGGAGAACCGGAGGACTACCGGCTATTCCCGGTAATGATTGAGGAGGCTGAATCTCATGAATTTGTAAAGCCATTTAGCATTAATACAACTGTTAGTGTCCTCACGGAATATTGGTTTTAGTTCCACTAATTTCAAATAGTTAATTTTGATTTTTACAATTTTGCAATTTTTAGTTTAAGTTTGATAAATAATCCATATGCTTTTATAGAGTTTTAGTTTTGATATCCATATTTAAGTTTCAGACCAAATCCTATAAATTATAAGGGCTCAAAACAATTATTTAACTTTACAATGAATACAATTATTAACCCAACTATTTAATTAAAATGAAGAAAGAGAAACAAGAAAAGGATAGGCGAATAAACGAGGAGTCAACTGCGAACTATCCCTGATTACAGCTCTACTCATCTATTAAATCCGTGTTTAAAAAGCTTTATAAGTACTTAAAACAAGTGTTTTTATGAAAACTAAGATAAAATTTTTCTTGTATACTGATCTTATATTTTGTTAAATTAATTCTTAAATATTAATGCAAATACTTACGTGAGTTTCTGTACTGAAATTCATAATTGGCATGCTTATACGAGAGTATTTAAATTGGATGTAATAGAAAATAAAAGGAGGAACGAAGGAAAGGAGAAATGAGAAAAGAGAAATAGGAGGATACACGTGCGAAGCAAGGGCTGAAAAGAGCTCGTGTGAGCTGCTTCAGCTTCACAGCCCCCCCCCCAAAAAAAAAATCTCGCTTTCCCAGGTTGTGAGCTTTCTCACTTTCTTTACCTTCTCCTTTTCTGATTTTTGGTTCTAATCTTTTCTTGTGCAATGACGCAGTAATCTTATCGTTCTTCCCAAAACCATGAAGGTCGTAAACACAATTCTTTTACAAAATTTTATCTCAAATCCTATATATTCACTTTTTTAAATGGAATTCTTTTGTTTTATTGTATTCTATGTAGTGAACATGCTTTGGGGGGAAAAAAAGATAATAAAGTAACTCTAATTTTAAATATAAGAGTTGATTGACTAATTTAAAAAAATTAATAAAATTAAAAATAAGTATTATCTTTACTAAAATATTCTTATTAACTATATGTATTAGAATATTTTTTATAAAAAATTTTAATACATATAATTACTATAAATATTACTTTAAAAAATAAATAAACATAAAAAATAAATTAAATTAAAATTTTATGTTTAAAATTAAATTAAATATCAAATTTTCATACAAATAAGTGGGTGCCTCTTTGTAGGATATTTGGGAGGGTAGAGCAATGATGTGATAGGGCAATGAATAGACAGGTCCGACATCCTCATTTGACAGTGACGTGCGAACTTGAAATAACATCATTCGGTAATCAATCTTATTTAAACATAATTAACCTCATCGATCTGTTGCATACACATGCTTTCAGTTCATTTTGGTATTATTAAAATAAATAAATAAATGGCTCATGAGGCATGGCCATCTATACATAATGCAATCAAATACATTTTCCCCGTATATCACAATAAGTTGAACTCAAGTACGTGTTATTATTTGTTACAAACTTTGTATTGGTACCAAAGAGGTGAAGTGATGATGCTGGAATTAAAAAGTATCTAATTGAGGAGATTAAGTGAAGAAAACTATGTGATTAATTAGGAGAAATGGAAGATGATGGCGTGGGGGAAAAGCCAAAATGTGAGGAAGAGACCAGGATTAAGTGGAAAATAATATGTTGGTACTGGCTGCCCCCACTTGTATTCTGCTTTTTGGAGCGAGTCCCATTAACATCCACACGAAAACGATAGGAACAACTGTGATGTCACAGTTCCCTCTTCCTCCACTAATTAATTCCCAAACAGTCATCTCATCAATCATCAGTATTGTAATGTTCGATTTCTACCCATATTCTCATCAGCAAAATTATTCATATCATACAATAATAATACACTCCTAGTCACCTAATATAATATTTGACTGCATTTTATAGCTTATGTTTTTTTTTTTCAAAGTAACTTATCTAACTTATATATAATTCAATATTATATAGGAGTATTTTAAAGAAGTCGTGTCACGCTTGTTAAAATCAAGTAATTTATTTAATTTTCTCATTTCATTTAATTAATTAAGTTGTTTTCATTAGAAGAGTGTTATTTATTTGCCAATGGTCTTGTAACTTAGTCATTTAGTGACATGTAGACTCTTTTTATAAATTAAAGGTCGCGGATTTAATTCTCGTTAATTCTTGTCCTTTTAATTCAAAAATAAGAATAGTATTTATTTTCTTTTGTTTTTTTGACAATTTTAGGCAATAAGTTGGTCTCATCCACAAGTCAAAGGCATATAATTAAACTACTGTTCATCACAAACAACTTAAGTGTCTGCTAGTGATACAATACATATTTGAGTTAGAGGTATGCTTGGATAATTGAAGTAACTAGAATATTAATGAAATTACTCATATAATAGCTTATAAGTGTGTTTTACATAGTTAAAATAAAATTCATCTCACATATTTATTTTGTATTTTGTTAATTATGATAAGCTGTTCTAAACAAACTTTTACTCTGTCATGGGAGTTAGAAGAGTTAATAATCACACATCCAAAGTCTCATAAAATTAACTAATTTATCTGACTTTTTAAATTTAATCAAATTAGTTAAATAAATCTTATATTAAGAACAGGAGATATTTATTAGCCAATGGTCTTGTAACTTGGTGGCAAGTAAACTCCTCCTATAAATGAGAGGTCTCGAGTTCAATTTTACTTGTAATCTTAGACTCTTAGTGCTTGTCCTTTTAGTTCAAAAATAAGAGTAGCATTTATTTCTTTTTTTTTTGTTGACAATTTTAGGCAATAAGTTGCTCTTATCCACAAGTTAAAAGGCACGTAAACTAGTCATTCATCACACAAAACTTATGTGTCTGTTAGTGACACAAAACATATTTGGGTTATAGGTATGCTTAGATTATTGAAGTAGCTAGAATGCTAATGAAATTAAAATTTGCTCCAAATTACATAGCTTGCTCGGCTGCACACAGAGTACTATTTAAGCATAGTTTGGATTTATTTATATAAGAGTTTGTAAGTATGTTTTAAGTAAGAATAAAACTCCTCTCATATATTTCGTATTTTATAAATTAAGATTAGCCATCCTAAACAAACTTTTGTTTTTGTCATGAGAGCTAGAAGAGTTCATAAGTCGCACATCAAAAGTCTCGTGAAAAAAAAACTGCAAGCTTTTAGATCTAAGAAAGTCTTTCATTCCAAAATGGTCTGTTGATGCGTAGTGTAAGCATTTGTTGGGGATTATGATTAAACACCTAAAATTATATAACCAAGAAATTCAAAACAAAACTTATTTCACTCGATCTCGTATTTTAGGAACCACGGTAGGTAGTTGTTTTCAAAGAACTCGAAACAAGGACAGAGAAAAAGAAGGGTTGATGAGGTAAGTAAGAGGGGCCGTGGAGGGAGAGAAAGGGGGAGGCGTGGAAGGGAGAGGAATAAGATTGAGTGTCAGTCAGGGTTAGTCTGGAGTCAGTCTGAGTCTCAGTCAGTCGTTCCCTCAACACACTCTCTCTCTCTCTTTGAGGTTTCGGTCAAACTCATACTTCCAAGTCCCAACCATACGTTATCCCATTCCCACCTCCTCGCGCGTCCCCTCACCTTCCTTCCTCCTCCCTCTCTTACTTCTCACCCTACCGCGTATGTACATTGGGAAAGCAAGAAACAAGCGAACGATTGTGTATGGAGGTATTGGTGGTGTTTGGATAGAACCAAACATATTTCAGAATGCTTTTACGGATTACGAATAAATATGTGAAGGAGGTTACTTCGTTTTGCGAAAAGTG